CAGAACCCTTGTTTCCGGTCGAACAGAGCAGGGACGGGAAACCTGATCTTGGCAAGACTAATATCGGCTCCTGGCACATGCACGTGTTTTTGCTAGCAGATGCTAGCAGCATTCTTTGTCATAGTTGGTTTTGGCGTGGTTTCAATGTATCCTGGTGGTTTGCATCTTTCATATGACTCTCGCTGCTGACCTTACATACTCTTTGCACTTCTGCCTTTTGTTGCTGTTGATTGCTGTTGAAAACGGCAACCATAACATCGACTCTGCTTCTGGCCAGAATGACGCGGCACTGACAGATGGATCATGTTAGATTTCAAGATTTGCGCAAACTACATATTCACCCCCCCCCCCCCCCCACCCAAAAGAAACTAACAGGGAATTGCCAAAATGATTTTTTTGCGGGGCTGGGAACAGCCTCCGGATGTGAGCCGGGGAGGAAGGTGGCAGCCAGTTGCCAAAAGGATTTTTGGCTTTGTCCGCGCGTTTGCGAGCTACCTAGCCTCCTTTTCGTGAAGATGCTGCGACGTTCTGTTCAGTTTGCCCGTTCCGTTCTCGGGGTTTGCGTCCCCCCCACGCACAGAATACCTCCCCCGAATTCCACCAGATAGCTGCGAAGGAGAGCATGGTGTCATTTCCAACACGGTACAAGAACTCAGAGCCCAACACAAAGAACAGCACTGCAAGTGTGTTGGGGTCTCTGGGTCACTGGTGATTTTTCCCAAAAACCCTCGGAGGTTAAATTCTCGTTTAGGGGTGTTTAGGGTACCAAGCAGGGGGGGGCTGCGAAGATTCCTGGCAGTGGCCCGAGCGACACCACGGGGGTTGCAGGACCCCACGGAACGGGACGGGACGGGTTTTGGGTTCCCGACTCGATCTCGTTCATGTGTGGGGCGCTGTTGTTCGAAAAGCAAAAAAGCAGCAAAGGCACTGTCCGTCTTTGTAGTGCTGTCCAAAAAGCTTAGATTCCTTCGCGGCAGCCACACTACTAATACTTGTTATGATGTGGAGGTTGAGACTCCGAACACGCGTCCCGCATTCGCAGAACAGTTGGCAGTTCGATTCTGAATGTCTTGAGCAGGTTAGTGAACTTGCTTCACTTGACGTCAAGGGCTTATTCCCTATCTGTATTGTGGTGGTCTCTGCGAAGTGGGAAGCATCGGGAGTCGACAGGTTTGATTTTTTGTTCCAACTCTTCTTGGGCCACAACAAGGAGACAGAATCGACGTCATCTGGTGTTTTGGGCGCGGTCACACTGAAGGTGGAAGAAATGGCCAAGTCGGCGCAAATACATAACGCAGTTGTGCTACATAACGCAGTTGTGCTTCCATTGATTTCACGCCTACTGTGCAAACCACATGAAATTAGCGGTGCATTCTGCAGAATTCCTGCTGGGTACTCACACCCAGCTTCTCTAATTCTTCGGAAGGTGGGTGAAGTGCGACTTGGGGAGAGCAATGGGGAGCAATCAGATATTCATGTAAGGCAGGGACAGGAATACTGTATTTCACTCCGTTGTAGGATGTTGTAGGCTCTGCCCGCACATGCCCAAGCTTGCGCGATGTCACATGCACAGGGTCGTAGGTGTTGCGCAGCAGGAATCGCACTTGTGTTTTTCCAACTGCAAAGTAGCGACAGCCCTTGATGCAACCCGAAGCTGCGAAGTACAAAGCACAAAAAAAGGAATCCTACGCAGCCTAAACCTGCTGAAGCCCTCAACTCTCCTATAGCACCCCTTCTGTTTGTGATTTGGGACTCATGAGGGTGGACCTCATTGCTCTGGCAGCCTTCGAGTTGCGAGGGAAGCAACCGTTCCAGGACCTCCATGCCTGGGCTTCGAGGGAGCTGAGAGGGCTTTGGAGGGCTCTTGTGTTTTGGGCTTTGAGGGTTTGGGCTGTATGGGTGCTGACCTCTACGTGTAACCTGGAGAAGGGCGGTTTTGATCAGTCTCATGTGCAAGCACAACAAGAAACACAAACACACACACACACACACATGTGCTTGTTTAGTTGGTTGGTGAAAACTGTATGTAGTTTTGGACTACAAGAGCCGACGGCCAGACACACGCCCAGGACTCAACCTAACCATGCTTTAAGCAGTCGCTGAGTGCCAAAACGGCACACTCAAAAAAAGCACACACAAAGCTTCATGTGAACAACAAAGCATCCTATCACACAGCGACCCTATGGCAAGCACTTTATTTTCAATAATCCCACCTTACAGTTTTTGCGGGCATTGTGAGGGATCGCATCTGCGATTCCGATTCAACATCCCAGGCATTTTGTGTGGGGATCCTCTGAAATGGGGCGCTCTGTAGGATTATTGAATCGTTGAAGTACTGGTCACGAGAGGCCAGAAATTAGCATCGCAACCTTCTTCGGATGTTGATTTTGGCTTCCGATTGATTGCCAGAAGGTGCCGAGTATTCTACAACCATTTGCCCAGTGCCAGTTTGTGTTGAGCACGGCTGGCCTCTTGCCGCCGGAGTGGTCGTGGACCCTGATGCACCTGCAAACCAAAACATCCAAGGCAGCATGCGGGATTGCAATGCCTTGGAGGAACGCCATCAAGTATGGAAGGGCACACATCCCACTGTACAAGTGGTAGAGCCGGAGTTCAATCCTCGCCTTGGGGGCCGTTGTTTGCCAATCACCCGTTGCGATTACACGGTATTGGGCTTGGTCACTGAGGCGGCCTTTTAAATTTTTAGTTTTCAAAGAGGAATTGAAATTCCGAGCCGTGTTTAAGTTCTTTAAGCATGATTTTCAAGCTTTGCACATTTTCAAAGGGGTTTGAAATTTGAAGATTTCACAGACAACGCGGACTCTTTGTTTTAAGCTTGGAAGCATGTGTGGGCTATTTGGGCAAAGTTCATATAAAATGTCATTTGGTGTTGTTGCTTGAGTTTAGCTAGCAAGTCATTTGGCTAAAGTTATCACACATTGTACTTCAGGAAGACGTTTGCGTCTCCCACTTCAAGATGTCCAGCTTTCCACCCTTTAAGGTTCCGAATTTCCTGGACGGTATGAGTGCATCAAGTTCGCCAAGGCGAAGACTTTGCTTCCCGATGTCCACCCGCCAAATTTCCAGATTGGAAATGTGGAAACTTAGAGGGTGGAAGTATGACAAGAAGCAAATGTTGAAATTAGAAAATCCGGAAGGGCAGAGGGGAAAATCCGGAAGTCTGGAATCCCGAGCTCTGGAACTCTAGAAATTGGAAGGCGAAAATCTGGTATGTGCACAAATGGCTCGGGCTTCGGTTGCCCCAAATCCAAAGCCTTCCCTCCCGGAGTGCTCTCGCGAGGATCATCCAGCAAATTCCTCCTCTTCTCAGGCCGGCCAAGTGCAGTTTCTCTTCTTGGGGTTGTGGCTTTGGGTATTGTTATCGACCATCCCCAGCATACGTGCACTTTGCGCAGCCTGCAAGTTTCAATAAGAGCCCCCAGACGCAGAGATAACCTGGCCGATGCGAACCCTCCTGTCCGCAGTGGTTCTTTCCTTTGAAATCCCTGATCCCGAAAACGATGGAGAAGTACGGCGTGCTTGGAGTCGTTGGGGCGTTTACGGTTTCGAGGTTTAATGGTGGTGTGTGGGCTTCGGGTGCCTGAAGCTGAGGCTCCAGAAGCCCTAAACACCCTTATGCATCCAAAGACCAGCGTGCCCGCGAGGTTGCCCAGGGAAAGACCAGTGCGCGGTACTTCCGCATCATCCAGCGCCAGACGGGCGACCCGCAGGATGCCGGGCCATGATGCCTTGTGGCGTGCAACGTTTCGAGTTCATGAGGATTTGTGGCTTTGTGCCTGACCCATAGACCACATTTTTTATTCCGATCATCCCCACCCTATACAGCTACCTGATGTGGGAGACGTCCTACCGTGTTCACACAGGAGGGTTCGCCACCCACCCACGCCGCGGCCACGCGCACGCCCACGCGCACCCCAACTCGCGCAATCTCGCGGACCGACGCCCGCGCCCACGCGTGCATGCACGTCATGCTGACCTGGGGCTTTGCCTCCCTTGGCGACTTCAAGCAGGACGATAGCACAGGCAAAATGCGCTTGGGCTCTGCCTCCGTTTGCGTTCACCGCGAATGCGGTGCCAGGTGCCTGCTCCGCAGGCAGGAATGGTGACATCGATGGTCATGTGAATCAAATGTGGCCGGCCATCCGTTAGAAACACCATGGTCCTTGCGTGAAGTCACTGGCCCAGTGCGGGGCGACACTTCTATCCAAGCAACTGATAGAAACGCAAAGCCGAACGGTGCACAGCGGCGCAAGGGGGTTTCCGCAGCGCCTCGCGTTAGATGGCCCCGCTCTGCGGTCCATGGTCGAGACTCAAGATGCGTTTTTGAGGCTTTACGCATCATGTCGGGGTTGTTGTTGAAGGATTGAAAGACTACATGTTACCACGACACGATCGCCACTTGCAGAGTACAAAGCTGTAGTTGCATGACTGCATGACGTATTTGAGTCAAACATCAAGGTTGACCCTGCGGATTTAATAGATCCTTCTTTCTGTTGTTCGCACGAAACTCTGACGGGAGCCCAGAAATGCAGACATATGTGTATATGCATGTATGTATGTACGTATGTATGTATGTATACATATATATATATTGTATAGAGAAAGGTAACACGGTAACACACACACACACCAAACAAAACCAAAACACTGCGACATACGCCCGAGAAAGTCCACCCCCACCCACCCACCAAATTTCCACACGGTTTTCCCCTACTCGCAATACATTCATATTGCGGAAAAGGGCAAGTGATCTCTGCTCCAGCCGCGAACAAAGTGCTAATTCCAAGCTATACGCCTTCAGCCTTGAAGGCTAAAACGTGCAGTTACGAAGGACCAACCGTCTTCCCCGAAGGGAAGATGCTGGGGTGCCGGCCCCATCGAAGAGAATGAGAGCATTCATTATCGAGGGCGTTAAAGAGTGTGATCCGTCAAAGCAGCGCAATTGGTCCAATTCCTCTCACACTGCGCCTGCAGGCCAGATGGCTCGCAAGCAGGTGGTGATAAATCCCAAGGACCGGGCAGCAATTAAGCTTTGGACTTGAGGTCTAGGGAGTTTAGGGGAAGTTTAGGGTTGAGGTTCATTTTCCCTGGTTGGGCTTGAAGTCATTGAAGTCTCGTAGGCTTTATGATTCTGGAGCCGACACCGGGGTTTGTCAGATGGGGTCTCCTCTCATGGGCCCGCACTTTGCTCAAGTTTGCAAAGCCTGCGAGCCTATCAGCTCCTCAGGCGAAGAAAGCCGACGTGGACACCCTGATGAAAAGGCGCGTGTATTGCCTGGACAGAAAAACCCCCAAGGACACGAAGCTCACACAAATGATTCCAAGCTGGCTGCGCAGGTTTAGCCCACGATTCTTGCAAGAATCCACCGTGGACACTGGGCTTGACGACGAAGCTGCTGTCTAAGCTGGCCAGCGCGGGCAAATAGAGCTTATCCCCGATCGTGCAACCTGGTAACCTGAAGCGATTAGAATATACCAAGCCAACGAGGCCTTCAACGATTCGGCGGTGCCGCTGCCGCTGGATGAAGAGTCGGACCTGGATCTTTATGGTGAGCGACGAACCCAGAGAAGTGAGGTTTAATTTTGGGGGTTTCAAAAAAGGCGCCGTTTAAGGCATCTCTAGATTTTTATGAGGCACATGGAAGCCTTGGCTTGTGAGGAGGCTACAGGAATGCTAAGCTTGTTTTGGCGTTGGCCTGCTTGGCCGAGTGTTTCCGGCAGAGCCTTCTGTGGCAGCATTAAGGCATGGGCACTTGGGACAAAGCGATGCTTTGGCCATGCTCCAAGATGCTTGCACTGCGTAAGGCCCATGGACTCATAGTGGAGCACTCGGCGGAAGGCCTCAGCAGGGTGCAACGCGCATCATTGCAGACTTACATACTCTGTACAGCGGAGCGGTTAGGAAGAGAGAGCACTTTGCTTTGCACCTGTCATTGTTTTGATTGGGGCGAAGGTGCGGAGCTGCGGCTGCAACCCAGAAGGGCACTGCAGCTACTGCGCCGAGTGATGAATGCATGTCTGCATGTCGTAAAACCGTTGGCTGCAAATGTACTTGTCTCTGTGCACTTGTGAATGGAGCGCGCAAGTGCGTGGATGACACACGTGAAGACTGCACTTTATGCTGAGATTGGCGCGAGGTCCTGTTTCTCAGGCAGCTGAAGCAATCAAAAATGGCACCCTGAGTCGAAAGTGTCAAGCATGTATAGCTGTGCATGGCAAGCCAATAACAGCAGGCAGCTTCACAGCAAACGAACCAGTTGCCGTGTGACGTCTCCAAGAGACGCCGCTGCGGCTTGAGCTCAAGTACAAAAGCGTTGGCAGCCCTCTTATTGTTTACAGCAGGTGTCTAAAGAGGGTTGCGGGTACAGGAAAGCCATGGTTGTTGGAGAGTCCTGAACTTGAAGCAGACCCCATTTCTCACCATTTGACGGAACCAAGGCAGAAGCCAGGAACTGGGATCTAGGATTTAGGTTTTTTTTTCAGGTACATGTTTTCTGATGAGCATAACAGCCCACAAGCAGATTAGATAATTGCGAAGTATAGGTTTGCTGGCTCCCTCACACGCGCGGCTAGCAGCTTCGTGCTTCAGAGTGTTCGGCCACTTCCAAATGCAAACCTGCGCTTAGACAGCCCATACCTTCAGCTAAATTGCGGCGGTGCAGCACATCACACGTTCAAGGTCAACTGGCCCTTATGCCAGCTGATCTTTTCGAAGAGTAGCGCTGAATAACATGCACCCGAGCCGGCTATGGTGTCGGCTGAGTTGTGCCATTGGAGTGAACTTCTGCCAGCCAGCTGCAAGCCGTATGACGTGATCATGTGTGAACTCTTGTGCATGTGTTTGGCGTGTTTTTTTTTTGCAGTTCTAGCTGTTGCATCAAGGATCGAAAATGCACGTCTTCAACTTCGGAAAAGACGAGCGGTCGGGGCAGAGGCCGCAAGAGTCGTAATCAGAGTTTGCTTACCAAGCTTGGATGTTAGATATCACCGCAAAGCAATGCTCGCGCAAAGGCCCAAAGAGAGGACAACAACCTGGCATGTCCAGCGTTAGCAGGTTAGCAACGAGCAGATGCATAGATCCTTTGTACATGGGGCTAGTCAATGCTGTATGTCAACCATGCTTTCTGACAATAAGAGCAGAGATGCTGACTGCATCTGCGGCAAGAAGAGAGTTCCCAGTACTGCGGTTAGCTCCTGTAATGCAAACGTTGGTTTTGTAGCTGCCTGAGAGCTGCTGCACTGACTTGAGGCAAATAGAAGCCCACGAGCTGTTAATCTCACAGGTTGACAGCATGTCTTCTTTAACACGCCTCACCTAGCTGCAGCTGCCGATGTTCCGAGCTGTCACACGGTCCGTCTTCCAGGTTAGCGGAAAGTCAGCGGGAAAAGTTGTTTGTTTTGCGAAAAGTTTCTTTTCGAGAAAACCAACTTTTAAAACAAACGGCGCACGCAACTCAGCGAGAAAAACGACTTTTCGCGAAACGTGCAACGTACAAAGAAAAAGAGGCTAGATCGCCAAGCATGCTCGTGGCACCTGTGAGCGGACTGTGGATTTCTCTCGAGGCCGCAAAATCGCGATCTCGCCTAGGGCGCAGGCGTGTTTGCGCTCGCCGTCCCCGAAATGCCACACTGTCGTCGCTTTAAGAAGTTCGTTTTAAGGGTATCTTTGTGATAGCATTGAAGGCTTGAGGTGTCAGACTATATGCCGCGACGTTGAGCACCTTCTTCTCGCCAAAACCACGAACTCACGTCACCAATCACTACGTAGCTGACTAGCTGTAGTTAGGGAGGAGGAGGAGGCGGAGGAGATGAGTATGAAAGCGAAACACCAAATTGTCCGAACCTTACCAGTAGCCCTAAGCTCTGGAAGAGTTTTGCGCTGGTTGAAAAGGACTTCTCCGAAGCCGCCAAAGTTAAGCGCCTGGAAGCGGCGCTCATCCCGCGAATTGCAAAGGCTCGGGATGAGGCGCTGAGATGGAGAGGATTTAAGGGCTTGTATTAGTTTAGCGTGGGGTCAGTTTTAGGGCAAGGTGTCATTTTTGTGGGGGCCGTTTTGTGGGTCTCTATACTGTAGGGCTTAGGCCTCAACTTGGTTTTAAGGTGCACAGGTTGGCGGTTGACTGTCTTGAGTGACTTTGATTGGAAGAAGCCTGGCACCTCGACAAAGTCTAGGATTGCGAACCCACCAGAAAGGCGACAAATCGGAGGCTGGTTCGTAGAGTTAGACCATGAGCTCCCAAGGGCGAAAGGTTCCGTCTGCACGTTAGAAGCGTCAGCGCTGCGCCCTCAATCCCACACTAAAGCTCTGAGTTTTGTTTAAGCTCTCGGCTGTGCTCATTGGAGGTGTGGCATTGGTGGGGACGCAGAGCAAGTCATCCCTAACCAATCAAGTGGGCACAGTCATAAAAGGACACATACAAGGCGAGGGCTTAGGCGGTTCGGGCGGTCTAGGAGTTTCTCAACCTTTTGGAGCCCCATCACTTCACTTGTTCTGTGACCCATGGCCCTGAGCAAACCCTTCAAGCCTAAGGCAGTGTTGTCAGCGCCGGGCGAAGCTACGGAGAAGCGCCTTGGCTCTTATGGCTCAACGCTCGCGAGCCGAATAAATGGCACCCCGAAATGCGCCCAGACACTCTGAACGCCCAAAACTTGGAAGCCTTTCAAATCCCCTCTAACCCTTCAGCCCTCCAATCCTAACCCCTAGACCCTTGTACCCTAAACCATCTTCCAAGTTAAATTGGAGCACCGAGCCTGTGCAAGTGCTCCGGCCAGTTTTGCTATTAATCAACAATTAAGATTTGGGGGGGGGGGGGGAGGTTGCCCACAGCTTTGGCCGCTTCGAGGTATGTATACGTATATACATATGTATATATATATATATACACACACATATATATATATATATAGAGGCGGGACTTTTCGGGTCCGTGTTGCGCTCTCTTTGTCTTTAATTTCCAACGCGTTGCAGTGAATAAAATTAGTAGAAGCAAGCGAATTTGTTTTTGCGATGTGTATTAAGCTATCTGGCTTTGAGTATTAACTAATCTTAATTGTAAACGCTTGCGCTCGCCGCCTCGGCAGCCGGGCCGACTCAGAGCATGCAGTATGTGGCGATGACGCCTGGGCCATCGGGGGGGTCCCGCAAAGTGGGAGGGGGGGGGGGGGGTCCGTCACAAAATTTTGGATGGGAGAAGGTTCGGGGGAAGGAGACCGGATCCAGGTCTGCTTGTTCCAGACGCTTCTCGGCAGGAAGCCGAGGCGAATTAGTTCAACGGACCTTGAGGGAAACTCCTTGTCATGCGAGGTTTTGCCAGGATGCCATGCTTGAATGACTCTTCGCCCTGTGGGATGACAAGCCTAGCCACACATTCGGTTCGGACGACGCGCAGCGCAGCTAAGATTATGATCCTCATGCTTTCCCAGGCCTGTTAATTCATAGGATTTTGCTCATGCAGAGTCCTGGGGTCTTTTGCCAATTGCGGGGTGGTCTCCAGTCTCACGTGTAGGTTTTAGCCGTTTAGGGTCGACAAGCGTGCCTTTTATTAGGAATCCCCTCCCTGCCGAATAAACCCCGTAACCCCCCCCCCCTCATCGATGGGATGCGTAGTGCATACACCCTAGATCGAGGCTGAAGCGTCTGAAGAAGCTGGCGGTCGCCAGGGAGGACTTCGCCGAGGCCCTTTGAAACCGAACAATAGAGTTTGGGCGGTTTAGGATCTCTGAGCCAAGAGTGCCATGGCCGAGGACGGAATACGGAATACAGCTTTTCTTATGGGCTTAGTGGCTTCGACTTTCCGTGCCAGGCGGGCAGGCTGAAAAAGCTGGAGCTCCACCTGCAGCTGGAGCAGGCCAGAACGGCAGCTTTACGGGCGGGGCCACCAGGGTTGCGGGTTTTGCTGGGTGAAGCTTTGGGGGTTTCTGGGGTTTAGGAAGGGGGGGGGGGGGGGGGGGGGGGGGGGGGGGGGGGGGGGGCTGTTTGTTTTGTGAAGGAGATTCCAGGAATTCTTTAGGGTCCCGTTTACGGGGATTTTGGCCCGGAATCCTTAAACACAGACCGAACGGCTCCACTCCAGTACTTTCCGGCACTATGAAATGTTGCATAATTCTCGCTCCACTCCAGTACTTTCCCGAACTATGCATGTTGCATAGTTCTCGGTATAAATATTATCAAGCTGCTGCGTCATGTTAGGCTGGGGCTTTGAGCGCAAGTGGGACAATGATATAATGCCCAGAGGTAGTTGCTGATCGGCGGGTGCCTGCAGTGCTTACAATGGTGTGTATATACCCTCTCTGGCGGCCGAGTTGGGGCCATTCCAAGGAGCGAACAAAGAGCCTGACTGTAGCCTCTGCAATCGAGCAACCTCACAAAACCCTGCGCCCGCCGACAAACTTTTTCAGTGAGCCACTCTATGTCTTCAATTGTCAGCATGCCGAGCATCAAATGACCCTGGCCACAGGGCGTAGATCTGCCTCAAGCCTCAAGCGTGAACCCGAAGAGGACCACAGGGAAAGGGAAGTGGACCTCTTGGCATTGCTGGAAGCCCTTTTGCTGCTGGAGGAGACTATGCAGCAAAAGGATCTCTTCAGAAGCATCTTCAGGCCCTTAAAACCTCCCCACAGAACCGTGATGTGGTTTGCTTAGGATGTGGCTTCCCCACGGGACCCTGCCTTGGCTGCAGAACTTCACAGCAGCTTCGCTCTGGACTGCAAGCGTCTGAAAGTTTGAGTCCTTGGGGTTTTGAATTTGAGGGTCGAGGTACATGGGTACACTACGTGGCATGAGTGCGTGAGTACACTGTGTGAGTAATCTACCTTTGAGCCCTGCTCATTGCAGCTTTAACGCGTAGGCAGTCTTGTAGAGAAGCTTGTGAACATAACCGTCATGCTGCAAGCCGTACGTCGCTCGTGGCCAGTTGCCTTGCTCAGGCACGTTCCACTCTCATGCCTCATCTGACCCGAGTCGGCTACTTGCTCGCAGTGCTCTTAGTGGACAGTTCGCGAACGGTCTGCAAGAAGTCCCTGTCAAGGTCTGCTACAGCTGCTACAGAACAAGAAGCGACAACAATCCGAGAGGACCAGAAAAGCCCTCAAGCCCACGATGTCGTCGAGACGCAATGCGACTTGCGAAGAAATCCTTAATTCGATTCCGTTTCCTGAAGGAGCCAAGTGTCTGCGACAAAGTTGCGCCGAGTTCGACACCAGCGTCGTCTGCTCCAAAGGCTTCCGAGCAGGCACAGGCACGTCGCTGCACATCCTGCTCTGCTTCTAGCGGATAGTTGTCGAGAGCAGCAGCAGCAGTGTAAAGTAAAGCAGCAGTTTTTGGACATGAAACGGAGTTGCAATGTATGTTCTTCTCTAGATTACTGAGTGCCTTTGCCCGAGGCTTAAGGGACAGTCTCGAACGGCTTGTTGCTTCCATTTAATGGCTGACCTGACAACTTCAGGTTGTCCGCCGTAGCCTCTAAAGACTCTACAGACAAGGGAGAATGGCCCTGCTAATAAACATGAACGCTGCACAGTCAGTCAACCTACGGCAAGACAACATGTTTCGTTTCAGCCAGCGGGTGATCTTATATGAGCAAGCGCCGAAACCTCCAGCCATTCAAGTAAGCATGGGTGGACACGAACGCCCAAAACCCTGTCAAGCGATGTGAACATCTGAAAAGCGGCCCTAAGTTAATGAACCGTTGGGTGGGCTTTAGCCTTGAATTCTGTGCTCTGCCATCGCTTGAAATCCAAGTCTGTGTTGTTGTTGGTTTTTTGTTGGCCTGGCCACCGTTGCGTGAAGGTTCGGGCGGAATCGGTTGAAAAGTCCGGTTTTTGTTGAGGCGGGACAAGGTTGGCTTGGCCAAGTTTTTGTGAAGGCCAAAGCTAAAGGCAGAAGAAGGTGGCCGGGTCACCTTTTCGTGAAGGTTGGATGACAAAAGGCCAACTTGCTGGTCGGGGTTGCACAAGTGCAAACTGAATATCATCATTGCAGATATCGCACGTAATCAGAAGAGTCGCACTGCGTGACACAGACGCGTATCCGGGAAAAAACTTCGGCAGCGGTGGTTGTTCTAGGACCGGAAGTAATTAAGCAAGCGACTTCGCAGCCTGTGTAGTGATATGTATATATGTGCAAACAAAATGAACTCTATATAGTTTGTATATAAAGATATATAGATAGATAGGGTGGTTGCTTTCACTCTACGGATGCACCTTGTCGACCTTAAAGCTTCATCGAAAATATTGACCTGCCCAAGCTGGCTGAACAAGACCAGGAGCTGTGGATCAAAGCCTGGAAAATGACGTGGCTGGAGGCTGGGATAGCGCTTTGACACCCAGAGCGCGAGTTCCTTCCACCAAAGCTGCAAACAAACTCTCCAGAAAGGTTGTGTTTTCAGTGGAGCCAACCACATCTAGCTCGATTCGTTTCCTTTCGTCCGCTTGGCAAGGCTGACGCTGTGGGCCAAGCTGACAACCTCACGAAGGCCACCAACAGTATTCCACAGCTGAAGAGACCTGGGCCTCGAGGGTTAGGTGAGACGCTGCGTCAGGTCTACAAGAGAGCTCGCAGGACATGGAAGCGCTTCCTAGAACCTGAAGTCCAGACCATCGAGCCACGGGAACAGACCTGAGCGCGCGCACGGGAGTGGGAGCATGGGTTTAGAGGGTCCAGTGCCAGCTAAGGGCTAAGTGCTTACCGAAGGGATAAAGCAGCGCCAGTCTCAACTAGTTCTGCGAGGGCCATCAGCCACGGGCTTGTGTCAGGGAAGCGAACATACTGCGTGCACGCAGTTTAGGCCACCCTCCACAAAACCCGCACCTCATGTCCACAGCCTTTCATCAGTGATCTTAAGGGAGGTCATGGTCGAATCAAGCCACTTCTTGCTCCCACCGCAGCTTAAAATTTGACGGCGCTGCGGTAGCAAGTGCCGGGACGGAGGGAGCATTTGCATTGGTTTTGCTCACCTTCTTGAGCGACTTGGCCTGCACCAAAAGGCTCAAAATCAAAGTTGGGGTGTGATTTCGGAAGTTTGGTTGGTTCATTTAGTTTTGGGGTCGGTCCTTCGTTTGTTTATGCGTTGCGTCGGTGCTGAGGTCGCGTGGCAGTGCAGCCAAGCGCAAGTATGTTTACGTCTGCAGTGACATCGGCCTGGGTCCTTACTGGTCTGTTGGCCTCTTGTTTGCTTGCAGTGTATATGGACTGCCGGCAATCTGCTCTGTGGCAATCTGCTCTGTGCTGAGATGTCGCGGGTCACCAATATGTTCTCCCGCACTGATCAATATCAGGCGAAGCGCGTGAGACCTTCAGCGCAACTTTGCAATGCTGGGCGAATCTGGGAGAAATATCTGCGCATGCGGGATGCAGGAGCATTCTGACCTGTTCAATGACAGCGAGGCCGGGTAAGGTGTCATTCGCTCAGCATCGTTCCCTGCTTGCCGATGTAAAGCTGCTGGACCCAAAAACCCCCCGTCCCCTCCGCTCCTCCCATCCCCTCCCCATCAATTATGTGGAAACCACCTGTCGTGCCAGTCCTGGTCTATCCCGGATGACAGGAAGCACTCAGCCGTCGGATGCTCAGAAACGGCTGCAGGGTGCATGCAGCTGAACTCAACCTTCCACTGGACTCAAACTCCAATCAGTGCAAAAGCCTTTATAATCCTAAAAGTCCAACCCCATACCATCAAGCCAGCCTGAACCCAGCCGGTAGCCCGACTAAACTCCGCCAGTCCATATGGTGGTTCCCCTTCTTATGGTCTATTTTGGGGTCCTCATTATAAATAAGGCGGCCCCTCTTATTTACCCAAAAAGGGACCCTATTTTTAGAGAGCTGACCTAACACACACCTTTCTCCCCGCGAGAGAAGCAAAAAGACCCAAAGCCAGGCCGAGCGGCCCTTGGATCCCTGGAGCCGAGACGAGGTGGCGCAAGCCGGGGGGCCCGTTATAGGTGTAATATGGGGTTTAATATGGGTTTTAATCTGGGCTTAATATGGGTTGAATATGGGTGTGGGAGTTTTTGTAAAGGGGGACCTTGCCTTTTTTTCTCGCTTGTTTTGCATGGTGTTTTTGTGGTTTGAGTTGAGGGTTTTAGAGGGGCAGGCTGGTTTTGGCATTCCCCTTCCTAGGTGTGGGAGGTGACCCCTCGAGACAGTGCCAGCGCCACCGCCCATAGAAGTATGGAGGATTGTGGAACCCAGAGGCCCAGAGTGTTGCTCCACGATGGTTTTGTTTAGCCGCGTAGAACTTTGGACCTATATACGGCTGGCGACGCTGGCAGCTTGTAATTTTCCACGACCGTTGTTCTGCCGGCTCGCCCAGGTCAAAGCAATGCTTGACAGTGAAATTCGCCGGGAAAAACCGTCCGGAGAGGCCACGCCAACTTGACAAAACTCACAGCTTCGTGTGGGGGAGGGTGAAGGGTTCAAGCTCGAGCAACCTTCCGTGGCTGTATTGGATATAAATTCTCTCTGGTCGCTTGCGTTGTCCGAGTAAATTCCTCACACATCTTATTGTCGAGCTGCCCCACCAGCCGTCAGACCCTGCACCCAAACCCACTGGTAGTTTCCCAGCCCCCAAGTTAGGTGTCGCCAACTTGTTGTTCTTATGACGCAGCCCCGGCCAAGTGTAGAAATCCTACACCCCAAAACCAAACAGCTCCAAACCTTAAATCCCAAAAGCCCTGTACAGGTCTCGGATAACTTCCTGCGGCAGCAGTCTCAAGACCGCGCTGAGAGCCCTTGCAGCAGTTGAAAGATTGAAGAATCCGGCGGCACCTATACCTTCGGGGGTTTAGGGTTTAGGGGTTCGGGTTTAGGGGGTAGGATGTAGGTCCTGGCTGAAAAAGCCCGTTTCAGAGGGTCGTGGCTCAGAGAACCCCGGCAACACCAGACAACACCCAGCTTGGCTCTTGAGATCTCTGGAGTCCGCAAAGCATTTATAACCGTTAAAAAGATTGTCAATTACTTGTAACGCCCATATCCCACTTGAGTTTAACTAGAGCCTGGTTATCTTGAGGGACGACTGTATATTTTCTATAAGGTTTCGGCTTTCACAGAGAATCGAACCCCACCTACCAGGGTCTGGGGCATGGAAAGGGTTGAAAGGGAAAGCCCGGGAAAGCATGTTTTGAGTTCCGTTGAATTTCTCTAGTTCAGGGGAGTGGGGATGTTGTAGGAGTTCTTCAAGAGAAAACTCAGGAAGAAGCGCAATCGCCGTCGCGATGATGTAGGCCGACTCATGCAGCTGCAAGTGCACGCCAGGATCCCGAAGCCGCATTTGCTGCAGCTGCATCTCAGCCAACTTCCTGTGAAGGTGCTGCCTTCGATTTTCCGCAGGATTGGCTGACCCCTACGGCGAGTCCAGCCCAGAGGCTTGAACGCTTTGTTCTAGAATTTGTGCCCCTTGCGATCACGCAAAAGCAGAGCAGCCGAGCTTTGGACCATTTTTTTGGAAAGAACGACAGTTTGAGCTCAGCCCAGTTTGACGTTGGAGGCCGATGCCAATGTCTAAAAATGCTCAGGACTACCTGCAAATGTTGGATGCTAGATCATCGAGTAGGGGCTTTAAATTGTCTAGTTGACCCATCCTCACCCTTGTAATCCCTAAACCCTGAACTCAGAGCCATTCCGGTCTCAGCTCTGAGGCCGGCTGAGCCGGCCGACGTTTGGGCGTCTGTCGGTGACCCAACGTCGCTGGAATGAGGGTGAAGAAGGAGGGGAGTTCAACTCGAGGGGTTCAACTCGCATGGGCCGAGGTCGGGACCTCCACATCGCCGCAGTGGCCAGCGGCCACTTGGCTTGGTACTGTATAGCTTAGATGAGTTTAGATGAGCGTTGATGAGTTTGGGGATGCTTAGGGTTCAGGGCCCTAAGCCCGAGGACCCGACACCTCTGAGAACCCCATACAACCCTAACAACTCTGACAGCCGCATCTCCACGCCGGCAACCCTGAGGCGCAACCGAAGGAGTTGAAGCTGCCGACTCCAAAGGCCTCCAAACCTGAAGCGAGCCCGGGGGAACCTCGGGGCGGCTTTTGATGGTGGATGTTTGTTTTTCTTAATTCATCTGTTTGTGGTATTTCGGGTTTCTCTCTTTTCCAGAGATCTTTGGCTTCAGGGTCGTAGTTAGGTCTGTAGGCACCGCAGGTTTTAGACGAAGCTCGAACGCTACGCTTCGCAGCATCTGCAATCAACAGCTGGGATGTGCTGGTTTTGGTCGCCACCTGGCCTAGAGGCTTAGAGAGCCCTTAGAAAGCCCCACGCAGTCTTTAACATCTTCTTGGGTTATTGATGACAGACGAACGTTTGGTCTTCTATCCGATGACATGCGCTGGGACGACGGCTGACAGTTTTCTGGAAGCCTTCGTGCAATCCCAAACGTTCAGCCTCAGGGTGTTTGCGGGGGATTGCTGGCCTGCGGGCTTCGGGTTCGGTTTAGGGTTATTGAGGCTTCAAAGAGGTTTCAGGGCGTCAACAGCGGCAGGATCGCTCCGGACCGGGCAGGCCTGGATGCTTTAGTTCATCGGGAAACGCTGCTGCGCTGCATGCTGCATGAGCTTAGGCCTCTTGTCGGTCCCGAAACCCTAGAAGCCTCAACCTTCATGCCGTGCAGACCCAGAGCCTTGAACTGCAGGACGCGGGCCAGCACAGACGTTCCCACCACTCGCAGGCCTTCAAATAGCACCTTCCCTTGGGGTTTTGGTACCCAAGCCCTGAACAGGCAGGCTGCGCCGGCTGCGCCCGCGCCCGTCCAGTTCGACGAGGAAAGAGCTTTGGCGTGATTGCGTGCGCGTACGTGTGTGGGGATGCCGAGGAAGGGAATAATTCTTTGTCCTTGGCTTGTTGTGCGCCAATGAAGACGCCCTTCAATCTCGTGAAGCTGACCTGTTAAGAATGGGCGAACTAGGCATCAGAGCATGCAGTTAGTGACGACTTTTGCAAAAGATCTTGCACAGTAGTTGTATTAGCGAGTATATCTCAACCAGTTCAGCCAAGTGAAGACCGCGAATCCTGCATTGGAGATGATCTGGCTGATTCAATGAAGAGGTACAGTATACTTCTCACGAGCATACATTTTTTCACGTGCGGAGTTGTGTCTGCCCACCGCTTGACGTACTGACAGGGTTTGTTGCTGCGTACGTCTGTCGCAGTCACTATCCCAGCTGCAGAGATCGTGTTGGTCACGCACTAAGTCTGAAGTTTTTGCCTTTTCGAGTAGCTCCATTCTTCAATTCTACCTCCTTTCGCCAACATATGTGCGCGACCAGCCTCTTTGAGACCAAACGTTCGAGATATGCAACTGTGCGTGTGTCACACTGGTGGTAGGCCATTCTGGCTGCGCTGGCTGCTTTGCCATCCCAGTCGTTGGTGGACGTGCTCCAGTGCATCTCTTACAGCCTGTGCTGCAGTTCCCTGGGCCAGGGCATCTTTTCGAGCAGCTGCTGCCAAGGCGACTTTCCGAGAAGCGACCTGAAGAGGTGGCACTTGCCATGGGAAACACGGTGCCGGGCAGCCGCAAGGCCATGGTTTCTTTTTCAAAGTTGTACGCACCAGTCGTGGCTGAGTATCTGACCCATGCGGTGCAACACCACGCTAGGTGGTGGTAGATGTGAAAGCTAGTGCTTTCTGCCCAGGGTTCGGACCTTATCCTGGACAAGGAGCATCCGCTGGCATTGTTTGTTCACTTTTCGGAAATCTGTCATGACTAGCTGACTGGGTGCAGACTGCCCTGCTTGTACAAAAGGCCCACCCCACGGAACCGCGAGTGGTAGAAGAGTAAAAGCGCAGACGCAAGTGGTAAACAGATCCGAGGCTTCTTTGAGTTTCATCGCGTGCCTCTAAGCTGTCATCTCAAGGAGCAGCAGGACTTCAAGGGTGAGAACGTGTCTCCGGCTTCTACGCCGCACATACACGGTTCTAACGTGTATCCTAACCCTCTCTCCCCCTGCAGCTCATTACAGACATACTGCAGCCTCCCCAAAATTTCAGTAGCCTCCCAGGTCAGCACGGCCACAGGACCGCTCGGGAAATTCGGTTTAGCATCACGCATCACGCATGAGGGGTTTTGGGTCTGGGAACCCTAGACCCTACTCAGACCAAATCGCTGAATAAGCCCTAAGCCGCATGCAGGAAAAGAGGGGCGATACTTTTGAGATTTTTCACTTGAGAAGCCCATGGAGCTGGGCCAGGCAGGAGTCCTGTGCTGTCGCCACCAACGACCAGGTCGGAGGCTTCTCAAGCACGGGCCTCGGCATGTCCGGTAGGAAGGAGGCCTTTTGGGACTTGAAGGCAACTGAAGGGTTTAACAAGTGTTCAAGTTTTAGGACTTCAGGTGTGGGGCCGGGTTTCGGGCTTCTAAGGGGTTTCGGATGGTTTCGGGCTTGGTGGCAGAGTTGAAGGTCAAGTCAGTGCAGTTGGATCCAAGAAGTGGATCCAAGAAGTAGTGGATCCACCGCAAGGGTGCCACAGCGCAGGTGTAGAGCATCAACTGAGGGCGAGTCTACTACCCTCAAGCTAAACTGACCTCAGGGCGTATAAGATTCTGGTGGAACACTGGATGAGCTCTTTGGGGGCGACACGGGTCCAGGCAAAAGATAGAGCTCTGCCTCGAAGTGCCACTTGCAGCCCGGCCATGCCTCCGGCGACGGCACTTGCCCCGAGCTCAGAAATTGGGCGTGGGGTTCTTCTTGGGATCTTCTTGAGGTTTTCTTTGAGATTTTCTTTTGATGTCGGGATTCGGGTCTCAGGCCGAAGCACGGATCTGCCAGGCTGAGCCCGGACCGGCGAGTGCTCCAAGCAGTCCGCCTGCACTGAATGCAGCCGCTGAGGCTGAGGCCATGTGAAAATTCACTCTTCCTTCGAAGCCTAGGAAAACAACTATGAATGCGGTGTAGAAGCACTTTCTGTAAGAGGTTTGGTTTCATGTCGGCTACAAAAAATGCACTGTCGCTGCAAAGAGGGGCAGACCTTGCATGTCTGTAGTAGCCGCAAGCAGTGGCTATTTGTCCCAAAACATCCCCTCAAAGCCGAAGACCAGAAGGTGCCGGTTTCCGTCGCCGAAGTCGTGGCTGCTGCTGCTGACGCAGCAGGGCCTGTGCAGTCTGTTCAAGGCCGGGCTTCCGTGGACTTCGCTGGGGGTTAAGGGATTAGGGTCGTGGATCTAGGGTTGTACTAGGCCACAGAGGCCCATACACCTTTCGAGATTCTACGTCGGAAGCCGTAACCCCGCGCCCCACTCACAACCTACAATGCCTAAAACTACAGGCCCTAAACCCAAAAGGCTCAGCTGGCGGCATTGTTTCAGGGTGTTGGGCTTGTGGTTCTGGTATGCAGGATGGCCTGCCAGCCATCCGACTAACACTTGGCCCTCCCTGGCCGAAGCGCCGCTTCGGCCCCAGCACGACTTGGGTTTACCGGTTCGTAGGGAAGAAGGGAAGATGGAAAAGGGAGGAAACAGGTGACCTTGTTTGGGAGCTTGGGGTCACTTGGGGAGTGTGCTGTAAGTTGTCAAAGAATGGTGGCTTCAGGGTTCCAGCAGAGTACAAATTCAACCTTTCGGATTGTTCCGGCTCTCAGGACTTGGATTTCAGATTTCAGTCGATGGAGGTCGGGAGTTTGCGCAGGTCGTGTTTACTCGCTGTTGAAATTGACTGCTATTTCTCAAGCCCGAGCGAGACCTCTTGACAACATACATACCACCTTCGGAATAGTCCTTCTCCTATCTTCTCCTCAAGGGAGTTCAGTTCTGTGTCAGTGCCCTAAACTTATCTAGACTTAGCCCAAACAGCAAGGCTTGTAGGGAGTGTGCATATCTGTAGCAGCTGAGGCAAGATCCTTGGCCTTCAAAGCCCTGGCCAGCGGAGGCTTCCCGTGACAAATCTGGTGCGACTACAGACTCCTATAGGTTCGCAGTGTAGTGGCTCTCATACTTCAAGGGTTGTGGGATGCACATGTATGCAGAGATAGTTCATAAAAGCCAGAAGCCTTAGCAGCAAGAAGCGGGGGAGGGGTGCAGGTGGGCAAAGTTAGCGGAGTCAGGGGAGCTGACGCCACACGGCCGAGACCGAGGCGAACTAATTATGCGGTTTACCGAAGACTATAGTGACTATATGGGTTACAAAAACGGGCTTGAGCCTTGAATATCGCGTTGCAGTACTTTGCGAGGCTCCTGGGCGCGCGTTCGACGTGAACATGTAGACGTTCGACGGACGCAGCCTTCATGCAATCTGGAACTGCTCCTGGTGAACCAGTACCGCAGACAACCGATTTAGTTTATGTGTCTCGACTCTGCGCACAATTGCGATCCGGCGATTGTGTGCACAGATCTTTTCAGGACGTAGTCCTGATTAGTCCTGCATAGAGCTGTACAGCGAACTTTCCGAGAACCTACACAGGATCTCACAACCATCGCGTAGTTTCAAGACGCTTTAGACGGGAGTTCTCTAACGAGTGCAGAAGCGATTGCCTTTCCGATAACCTTACCAGAATCCTCTCCAATACTGGGCTGCTCCGGTAGAGTGAAGCCGCTCTCAGGCTTGGGGAGGCTCGAGTATTCGAGCATGAGCAAGTTCTCACAAGTTATCTAAGCTATCTAAACACTGGGGACAGTTCTGCGCATGTCCTGAACAGCTGATTGCCTGTTGTTTCAGTGTGAGAGAGGGATTGACACAGGGCATTTCGTGTTCGGCATTGCGGCTCTTAGTGGCTCCAAAGAGGGCCAGGAAAAGCGCGCGATCTAGAAGAAAGTCGAGAGTGTGAAAGTTTAGGGCTTAGCACGGCCAGGGAAACAGAGGAGACCTTAGAGATTCTAGAGACTTTAGAGACTTGAGAGCTGTTGTTGCAGTTGAGTTGGTTCGCAGCTTCATGGCGCAACGTCGTAGATCACGTTGGTTTCATTGGCAATATCACAGCCATGGTGGTGAAGGCTGACATCACAGGCCATGATGAGGCCGGATTCAGAACCGAGGAAGTGCACGGATGTCAAACTCGTGGACACATGCTTTCGTTTTAGAGGGTGGAGCTACAGCACTGCAAACCCACACCCTAAGCCAACCGCCTGCACTTTGCAAGCATCTTCAAGCAACAATGTCCTCGTTGATGGACCTGAGGTGATCCTTCGGAGTCTTATGGCAAGGGTGGATAAGGTTTGCTTTTCCATGAAGGTCTTGAAAGGGGGCTCGGGACCAGAGGAGGTCCAGAAGATGTCCAGAGGATTTACAGGGGGGAATGGGGCATTTTTGCCCGAAGCCGGAGGCCTGTACCTGGAAGGGATGTGCTCAGAACCCAAATGCTGCCAGAGGTTTCCTCCAGCCCAGGCCCTTGACCCTGCCCACAAACCCTGCAAATACATCGACGAAACGGCCAGCCTGGGCATCCCAGAAGGAGCTCATAAGATTTGCACCGGATTGAGGCTTACAAGGAAGGTTCGCAAGAAGAGCACGTATCAGAGAGGGGGGAGGGGGTGAAGGAGCAGATGCCTACCGGGGCCTTGGACAGAAAAACATGGGTGGCGGACTTGGGCCCCAAAGCGGCCTCGTATTCATGCATTTGGTAAATCAGGGGCACGCTTCGGTTTTTGTTCTCGGGGGGATCAGGCCTCGGGCTTTGGGAGAAGCACAGGTGGACAGCGTGATGTGGTATTACGTTGAGGTGACCAATGAGCTTGGCTCTCAGACGTGAAGGGATGTCATAGTACTGGTACGTCTAGAAACCCCGACCCCCCAAAACCGAAATCAAGAGGACTTCCACGAGGTTTGACAAGCCCAACAACCTGCAGCTGCGATTTGCGTAGGTCAAGGCTGCAGCGGTTACTCTGGCAGTTTGTGTCGCAGGGATTTCACAAGTTGTATGGAGTGCATCATCCCACCACAAGCACAACCAGTATCAATGGCTAATGTCCCTGTACCACAAAGGGAACTGCACATGATGCCTGGGTATCGCAGGTGATTGCAAATGAGGGTTGGTGGTCAACGGGTCCCGTCTTGGTACATAACGGAGAAGGCATGTGTGTACGCCTCGAAACAAGTTTCTGCAAGGGTGAATAGCCTCCAGACCCAGCCCTCGAGTCTCACCGAGCCCAGGAAATAAAGCCAAACCCGCTCGATGGCATCTTCGGGCTTACGATTTAGGGTTTCGTTCCACTCGAAAAGGAGCGGCAGATCCTGGGTGGTGCAGCGGCGCTACAATGACTTTGCCCATCTGGATGAGGAGCTCAGGAAGTCCAGGCTCCAGGGGGTTGAGGTTTAGGGTTTCAGGGTCCAAGGTTCAGCTATTTTTTCCGAAGCCCTGTGGGCCCTGTAGGTGTGAGAGTTAGGGACATGGGGGGTGTGGGTCGGCTACCACCCTCAGCCCTCAAACCCTGAACCTTGCACCCGGGTTACTCTGTGTCTCAGGACACTCGAAGTCCCCGAGCTGCCAGGGAAGGAGGTCCTAAACCCGCTGAAGGTCTTTGCCCGCGCCCGAGTTGTTCAGAAAGCTCAGGGTTCCAGCACGGGTCTCGTTTTTTTGGCATCTAGGTGGGGCAAGCTCTGCCTTGTCCCATAGTGCTGTGAGCATTAGCTTGTAATTGGTGGGGCGGGGCCTCTGTTGTTGTACCCCGATCCCATCCTCTAACGTTCTTTTGCCAGTCACTTTCGCTGGTCCTCGCGCCTTGGCCGATCGCCCTTGGTCTCCTCCTGTGGGGCCCAGGGTCTTTTCAAGGTTTGGCGAAGTTTGGCTTGGTTTTAGAGTGGTGCGCTAGTCTACTAGTCCCTGGTCGCGTGCTCCACCAGTGCCAGTTCGCCGGTCCTTTGCTCCCCCTTGCAAACTTCAGGGGGACAATTCTGGTACTCAGTACCGACCTGTCCGACAATCAACAGTCTCTCTTCTTCCACCAGCACACGCTCAATCCTTTCCTCGTGCCAATCCAGGCCGGCTTGAGTACATGTTGCATTCAGCCAGCTGTCAACATCATTCGGTTGACCTGCTGCTCATTCTACATTGGGCTCTTGGGGAAGGTGTCATGTAACGCAGTCCCTTGATTGATCCTGACCTCATTCGAGGATCATCACTCAATCAGTTCAGAAAGAAAACGTTCGTCTGCGCAGAAGTAACAAATACGCTCAACAAGCGAAACTTTCATCAGCAGTCGTTCGGCCGTTCATTGGGTTTCGGCCCTGCGTTCTCCCATCCAAGAAACCTGACTTACATTCATGCGTCTGTACTCATCTACATTCAAGAGCCATGGATGAGCATGCCCCTGAAGCTGGGGGACGTGGGGTACACTTGGAGAGGGTACGGGGGCATGGAGGGCACGGGTGGTACGATGGGGGGTATCGGCCCGCACCCTCGCTTCGACCCCTCGCATCACCCTCTGTACGCTACATGCAGGCATGAGCAATCACCCAAGATTCGGGCTTCTCGTCATTCCAAGCTGGTCTATTCAGCAGTAGCAGTCCACTGAAAAGGCTCTTCAACGATTCAAACATTGCCAGCACTCTATGATGATATTTCAAACTGATGGCAAGGTCACATGTGGTTCACATGACCATCGATGGCACCATGCGCATTTTGTAAGTCGGAGCACAGCCAGCAGGCACCCAGCACCCCATGATCCCAGCAGACACAGAACATGAAGGAAAGCCCCAAATCAGCGACTGTGGTTAGCTGGCTTGATTCTGCGAAGCAAACCAGCTCAACAATTTCGACACTCGCCGATCTTGCAGGACAGCATGGCGTAGGTTGTTGGACACAGTTGCATGGAATGGGAGGCAGAGCCCCAAGTGGCAGTTTCGCTGCCCGTCCGCCCATGTAGGGTTCAGAGCAATGTTTCAAATTCAAGGCCTCGAAGATGAAAAGGCTAAATCAAATAGCCTCCAGCCTGCGCACGATGCATGCGCCGTTGTCGTTCAATCGAGGCCTTTGCATGTTTCTGATCGAACTCGTTCGCCGGCCCTTCAAGCATTCTAGAGTTCATCGATTCAGGGCTTTCGAGTTTCGAGCCTGGAGTTTGGAGCCTTTGAAGACTTACCCTGGTTTCAGGGTATAAGCCTTTAAGGGTACCCTAAACTGCCCCTTGCAAGGACCGCGACGGTTTCGCTGACCGCCGCATGGCAGGGCTGAGAAGCTACCTCGCCAGCTTGGCATCGCAAGTCCAAACTCTGGCGCAAGACCAGATTCTCGAGCAGTCGCCGGGCTTAGATTAAAAAAATTAGGCTTTGGTTTGAATTGGGTTTTGGGGGGCGGGGGGGGGGGGGCTTTTTCGGGCTTTGGAGGCGAAGGGCTAGGGACTTTAGGGTGTCGTTTTGGGATTCTGGGGTCCCGCACGAACGCTGAATCCCAAATGGCTCACAGAGGCTCGGCGTTATGCGGTTGAATAAGGTCTCAAAAATGCAGAGACCCTGGATGTTCCTAGCAACTGGCTCTGAAGTACATCTGAGACGCATCAAGTCCGGTCCCATGATATTATCCTAAACTCCCAAGCGCTGACCTGTTGCCGGGTCCAGGTTTCTGCAGGTGGACCTCACCACCAGAACTGAGACAGGCACAAGTGCGTGATGAACCTCAAAAGGTACAGAAGCCTAAGATGTTCATGGTGCGTGAGCTGAGTCGAAGGAGGCCCATATTCAGGATCTAGGAATCTAGGGCTACTCAACGTGGTTTACGCTCCGTGGCAGGCGAAGAAGAAGTGGAGCCCACCAGCACTGTCAGGGCCCTCAGAATTCAGCTGAGCGATGTGCTCCTGAGTTCCGAATTGTGTGGGCTGAAGGCGCCACCCTAAAACCTCGTAACGCCCAACGTCTTGATACTGGACTTGTACCATACAATGCCACATCATTGATGTTTTTTTTGAAGTTTTCGAGCTCGCTGCTGCAGCCAAGGTGGAGTTCAGCGAGCGCTGATGGTAGATTGAGTCCAGCCTTTCCTTGGCTGCGGCCTTGGCCTGTCACAGCCGAACCCCATATGCAGCATTTGGGTTTGGGTTTTTTGGTTCAGGCGCGGTTAGAAAGAACCGCTTCGGCGTGAGGTGTCATGCCGTCATGCATTGCGTGCCAGGCTGCGTTCCTGAGATTGCCGGCATCGTTGTTCTGACAAATGCTGGCAGACGCGAAATGAAAGCTGCCTGCGATTTAGGGTTTACAAGGCGTGCAGCACATGGCTTTCTTTCAAACCAGAGGCCTGATTTGCAACCAAAAGCGCAGAAGGTGGGTAACACCACTGAGATCTAGGCATCTACGGGTATCAAGCATGACCCTTGAAACCCTTGCCCGAGAACCTGAGCACCCGGTCAGCGGAGGAGGTTGATAGGGTAGGGAGTGTAGGGAGTTTCGGGTGCACTGCAGCTGAAGATGCCCTCGCCGATCCCCTGCAGATATCGGCTCCAACGCCGCTGACGCCGCCCTCTGTGTTCCCTTTTGACTCGGAGATGCACAGAAAGCATGGGAAGGCTCCCCGGAAAGGAAGCAGTGTCATCAAGCCTAAGAATAGCCAGATCACATTTACACAAAAACAAAACAGACTCGCAGCCTTTGGCTAGTAAGGCCACACTTGCGCGCGAAAAACGCTCTAGAAAAGAGCCACACCAGTCTGAAGATGTCTCAGTTGCCGCAGGCGGTGCTCATTCTGCTGGCTGGCCTGGCTCTGACGCTTTCGAGGCGCTGCTGGAATCCTGCAGACCATCACCCCCGGGGAAAATCCGAGAACCCGGAGAGTGTGTCAATCATGATTCCCAATGAATGATTCCTACAGTGCCGGTCAAGTTACTCAGTTTTAGGGCAGGGTCAGCGCGGTCAGGCTCACGACCTTTGCGACGCCTACTGGATGCCTGGACTTAAGCAAGCAGTCTTGGACACGCATTGTACGCAGCACACGTCTACGCACAAAGCCATGCGCCATGCAAGGAAGCTCTTCCCCACGACGGGATTTTCTGAAGAGCATGACAGCTGGACTTGCAGCTGGCGTAGGCACGCAGGCGATCGATGTGCATCCTGCGTACGAGCCTCAAAAGTCCAGTCTGCAGCCCGCGAAATGTTCCAGACATGTGTATCTGCAAGTAGACGGGCTGGAAGGGATTGTAAGTGCATCCGCAAATACCTTAACGAGCATTCCGATTTGCCGCAGCTGCCAAGGCAGGCTGCCATTACAAGATGGTCGGGCCTCTACAAAGACCCCGTTCATCCAGGCCAGCGTTGGGTTGTCGAACATTGTTGAACCGTCCGCCGAACGCTTCACTGCTTGTACTTGTTTTCTTCCCTTCCCCATAGGATGAGAGTATCTCCGGGCGAACAACGGATGTTTGATGTTCACTCAAACAGCTGGCCACTGCTTCAGCCACTAGACCATTATGTCTTGCGAAACAAAACCTTTAAGCCCAAAGCCTCATAAATGTAGAAACTAAAGCAAAGCCCATGGGGCCGCGCCTGCTACTCTTCCTCCCTCTCACCGGAGCCGAAACTTGTGTGCTTCGGATTCAGAGGGATACTCGCCTGGCGGTGGAGGTACGAAGCATCCACCACAGCTGCCTTACACAACTTCGAATTGTTTTGTTCTACTTGTAAAAGTGAGTGTTTCCTTTCGCTGTGGCGCCACTCTACAATGGCTTGGACCAGCTAAGCCCCTGCGGGTATCCAAGCTAGACGACCAAAGTTCTCAAGCTCACGGATAGCAGCTACATCAACAGCCTAGCTGGGTACCCGAAATACCCCTTGCTTGTAAAACGAGCTCCGACAGTCGGGGAGAAAACGGGCACGAGAACGTGCTGGACCCCTTCTGCAAAGATCTCCCTTCAAATGATTCTCCAAGAACTTCAGGTCGCACTTGCCGCTTTCGAAGGGTTTCGATAGCGGAGGCGCAGGCCATGTCATTGTCTCAGTAGCAAAGGTGGATCTGCAAGCCGAGCTTTTCCCCGTCCTCGATTCCTCGCCAGCTGTCGAGGACCATCCAAGATTGTCTCATCGGACACGAAGAGGTTCCCAGTGAGGCTATCGATGAGTTGGCCCCCGGTCCGGATGGTGTAAGGACCTTCCCGCCCACTGCCCGCTTCACCTAGAGTACGTGAACTTCAGCTCGTCAACCGAACCCAGTCATTCTGACCTGGCCGGATCAAAGAGCCGAATGCTGACATACCCGGTCTGAAATAGGGTCATCTCGTCCTGTCCGATCTCGACGTTGGAGCCGGATAGTCGAAAGCGCGACCGCTACTGTAAAGGTGTCGCTGAGCTCTTTTCCATCAACAACTGACACAGCTTGTCTGCCTACCAGGAGAATATCGCCACACCAAGATGTGCTTCAGTAGGACCAAGCCTGGTGATTTCATCTTCATCCTTCTCAGTCACCGGCTGCCATGGAGAGTCCACCAAGCTCCCTGGGTGGCGCTGATCTTGCGTCTCCGTCTCCAAGTCGAGAGGTTCCAGAGCTCCGTACTACAGGTGCTCATCGTACTGCGTACACTCCGCGGGTCTCAAGTGACATCCCCGTTAGACATCTCAACTCACGGTGCTCCACACGTCGAGGCATTGAAAGTTGTCCTGCAGCACCTCCCTCCCCCAGGATTCCACCGCGAACCTCCAAATTTGGTCGGATTGTGTCCCGTATTACCGTGCCTACGCGCTTCTTCACTTACTGAAAGCCTCCACCGCGGCAAGGGAGGAACGACTGTCAAGGCAGATTGCAAAAGCAAGGACGCCTGGCGTGCATTCATATCCATGAGCTTCTGCACGTGATCATAGGTCTTAAGGCCGCAAGGTACTGCAGTGTGCTCACACAAGCCACGTATACGTAGGGTTCAGGATGAGAGAAGCTTCGGGTAGCGAGAGCGGCGCTCGGCTGGAGTAGTTGTTTCGTGACCATATCGAGTGCGGTTTTATCATGTTTTTTGGGGATGTTGTACGCCGACCGCAAAGCCTGGGTCATAACCCCTTTCCGAAAGCTGCAGAGGCCCAGTGTCCTCCAGCAGAACCCAGAGAACCCGCCAGTGCCATGATCCAGGTTGCGAGCGCGGGATCACCAAGGATGGCGCCACCCAGTTGCACAGATGGCAGGCATCTCTATTGGGACAATTTTCCAGGGTTTCGGGATGTTTCGGGTTTAGGGATCTTGGGGTAGCCGGGAAATCCTATGCCTCAAGCCCTCAATAAGTCAATAAGGCTTGGGATTCAGGACATTTGAGGGGTTTGTCTGTGTTGGAGCTCATGACTGCAGATTTCTCAACATGCGAACTATCAGTTTCAGGCCAGGACTCGTTCGTCCCTGTAATGTTCCGGCTGGCTTCGTCATCGTTTTCCGCTCTACGGACACAAGGTGAAGTTTTCCTTACGAGTCCTCTGCCTCAACAACTCCGGAGCAACCGTGATAATCCATAACATAGCTCACAGGAGCACTATGGGTGCGCACTGCTACCCATGGACGAATAGCCTCCCAACTTTCTAACTCAAACATGACAACCTGCACGAGTCGGCCAACGGGAGCTATAGCAGCTACAGCAGCTATAGCTGCCGATAGCCTGTTCGTAGCGCACATACCTTTGAACAAGCGAAGCACCTTGAACCCTCGCCTCCCGAGTTACAGAACGCGCTCGCTGTGGTCCTAGCAGCCTTAGCGCCGTAAGCATACGTAAACATGCCACAACTCCTCATATTCCCCCGGTAGGGATCTCATGGCTCCGAGGACGAGTTTGTCATCTCCGGGACCAGCGCGGTAGATGGATCCAAAGCCTGCGAGAAGGACGCGAAGACCAAGAAGTGGTACCTCATCGCCCGGAAAGGCGCCCGAGCCAGAGCCGGTCCTTTCAAAGCACGGGTTTAGGGAAGTTTAGGGTTTAGGGTTTAGGGTTTAGGGTTTAGGGTTTCCTGTCAGGATCCGAAGGTGTGTCGGACGAGCTCATAATTGACGCTCGGAGAGTGAACTTCTGTTGGGGGTTTCCCGAAAATGGGAGATGCCCTTTTTGGCGGTTCTTACAATAAGGATTATAGGATTATAGCAATTTGGGGAATATGAAAGGGGACCCTATTCTGGGCAATACCCATACAACCCACAACATGACTCGGCAAGAGGCGCTCAACAAGCGCTCTGAGGATTTTTCGCCGAAGGGCGGCCCCAAGGATGCCGTTGCAAAGTGGGACGGTGACGGCATCGTCTTCCCAGCCGCTCCGCCTTGTTAACGGCACCCTTTGTTTGTTGGATCAGAGGCAATTGACTCCCAAAAAGTGACTGAGTCGCAAGAACGCTCTGCGGTCGCCCGCCCCCCCCCCCCCCCCCCCCCCAGAGGTAGGGGGCTTCCCCCGAAAAGCGCCTTCCACCTAGGGAGGATGCCGTATTGAGAACCGTGTAAGGATGGCAACAGGTGGAGCAAGATCAAGCGCAAGCCAGAGGATGCTGCGGACAGCTACCTCGATGGCCCAACGTCGCCTTTGTCCAAGTTCCGCTAGATTCGTGCGTGTGCGCGCCAGAGACCACGCAGGACCTAGCACCGATTTGACTCGGCAGAGTACAAGCGGAAAAAGAGATGTGAATGGCTGCGAGGCAACTCTTCACTCATGCTCTGCTGCTGCTTCATTCATGTGCTACATGGCCTCTTGCAGCTATTCCTTGTTAGATCGCCAGGCATCTATGGCATGATTCTTGAAGCTATGGGGACGCGTGTAGGACCTCAAACAGCTGGGCCTCATAGCAGAACTACCCTTAAACATTGCTATGGGGGGTGGTCAGGTTTTAGGGATGTAACCGTATTGAAACATATGAAGACAATGATATAGTACAAAAAACATGATTCCTATACAGGGACAGGGGAATACAGTGGCGGCCATGCCGCCGTATCCGGGCACGGAAGAAAGCAGCTGGTTCCCCGCCCTGGTGTGTACCTTTCTCGCCATCGCGCTGGTACTGTCGGATGAAGCCCAAACAATCTTGCCGGACGACGTCTTTTCGCATGCCTTGAGCGACTTGCCTTGGTGAGTGAGCGCGGAACAGTCATGAACAGCTTGAGGGCGGTTGAAGGTTCGAGGCCCCGTTACCTTGCTTGGAATCAACTGCTAAGATCTGCAAAGGTTGTGGCATTCTGGCGATGGCCTTCTTTTGCATGTACATCCTCATCAAGTCCAGTTTCCGTCGCAAGGCGGTGAAAAACCCTCTAGGTCACACCAGCGTGTCCGAAAGGCGGGAGACGGCGCCGCTGAGAATCCTCCGAGGAGTGATAAAGAAGTATTCGGAGAAGAAGGAGTGGGGAGTGATCGGGGTGAGGGAATCCGAGTCCGATTCAGAATCAGACGACGAGACTATGGTCCGCTTCCTGCGCAGTGAGCGGGACCGCGTGGGCTTGCAGCCTGGGGACCCCGTCATTTTCAGGGCGATCCCGGATCCTCATATGCAGGGATGGCTGTTGGCGGAGACCATCTGGAAAGCCCCGCAGGACACCAGCTCGAACTCCAACGAAGTTTTTGGGGGTTTTAGGGTTTGCTTTTTGTTGGGGGGGGCCGTGGGTGTATTCGCGAAGTTCCATGCAAAACACAGGAGGCAAGCAGGCCCCCAGCGCAGCCGGACTCTCTTGCAAAGCGCAAGGTGCCCCAGGCTGCGCCAAAAGAGCCCGGACGGCATTTAAGCCCTCACGTCCGAAAACCCTTAAACCCCAAACGGGCTCGGTTCTTGGCTGGCTTATTGTTGATAACGGATGTTCAAACTGTGCGCTTGCGGCTTCAGACTTTAGGATTTTGCAAAGTCAGGACAACGGCAAAGTCCTTTCCAAAAAAGTTCTCGCAGAAGTTTAGAGCCGAGGCCGACTGAGGGGCGGCGCCCAGGGCAAAGCCGGGCAAAGCGCGCGAAATCGCGGACTTCGAAGCTCCGGTCGTTTGCATCGCCTGGCCGCATGGCGACTAACTGGAAACAGCCTTTGAAACATCTTCAAGCATGTTCTGGGTTGGCTCAGGATTGGCCGGATTTAGGGGCTCTGGGACACAGAACCAACTCTCAGGCTCTCAGTCAGATCAGTCAGGTGTGAGGGACGTTAGGACTCCTGAGGTCGTTGTGAGGTGTTTTCAGGGTTTGGGGGCATTTGTTTCTTTCCGCACAAGCGGCTGCTGAGGGCTAGGGCAGCACTTTCGGTGACAGCATGGGACAGACAACGCATGCCTTCCGCGCTGTTGTGTTCTTGTCTCTCATACACTCAACACCCTCAACCCTATGAATCCCAAATCGCCGCCAGATCGACCAAGGTGAATGGCAAAGATCCATTCAAAAAGCTGCGGTTCCCGCTGCCCTTCGGCATCTGAGCTTGGGAAGTGCACCAGGCAATACCAGGCACTTCGAGTAGTCGAAAGGTGTCGAAAGTTTGTCAGATTTCGAGGGCACTGGCATCACAGAAGCCGGTCAAAGACTGATGGGCGAGCAGCCTCGAAAAAAGGCGGAGGGCCGCGGCACTTAGCTTGTGCATCGTGCAGGGAAACTACGGCCATGAAGCAACCGGTTTCGTGCTGCAGGGTGCGGTTCAAGCCGGATTGGATCCTCAGTCTCTGCACACCATGTGCGGAGAGCCTGAACTTTCGAGCGTTTTGAGCTGTCTCTGTTAGAGGGGCCGCGCTCTGCGCTCAGCGAGCGGCCCTCTACGGCCATGTCCGCCGATGCAGTGCCAGATGCGTTCAGCCAGGCACTTGCAGCAGCAGCTCAGCAGGCTCAGGAGGCTTCGTGCCAGCACCAAGAGGATGTCTGATGTTTGCGACCTTTTCTGTCAGAGAAACCTACTGTACTAAGTACTAAGGCTAAGGCACAAATGTTTATGGTTAGGGACGGGGCTACGCGCCGGGTTTGCTGCTTTTAGGTGGCACATGGTTGCACAGAACCTCTGAGGCAGTGGCTCAAGCGGCAGCGGCTCAAACAGCGGCAGCTCCCGCGCCGGAAGCTGGCGATGCGAACGGGGCGCTGGCTGCTTTTGCAGCAGCCGGGGCACACACCTCAGAATCCTCAGAATTCGAGCGGTTTCTACAGACCTTTCTCTCCCACTCCAAGTACGTCCACATTCTTCCTCTCTGAGGTTCCTGCGTTCCAAATGCTGGCACTGAACCCTCAGTTAGCTGCTGCCTATGGGGGTGCCGCCGTGCCGTCCTCGGGTGCCTCTTGCATCTGAAGCATCCTGAAACAGCTTGTCACTCAGGTGCCGCTCGTTGACCCAATGTAGGGCTCTTAGATGCTCTTAGTATCTTTGAGTCATGACCATGTTGCAGGCATCTGAATAAGTTCGAGCTGCCAAGGTTCAAAGCTTAAAGTCATTTACAGTTTAAGGCCGTTCTGCTGAGCTGAAGCCACCTTGAGTCGAATCGAGCAGACTATTCACAACAAGTTTAGCTCAGCGTCAGGGCAATGGCCATGATATGCCATGAGAACCAAGGTATGCTCAGCTGCAAGCGAATGCCGCTGCACTGTGCGGCCTGCAGTAGACTCTGCAAGACTTCAGCTGGGTTTTGAGAACGTTCGCTCTTGAAAAGTTTCATTTTTTTGGGCAGGCTTTCACGGGCTCAGGTTCATCGCACAGTAGCTGCAACATGCTGCGCACCTGGAGTCTGAAACCAGGACCCCGGTTAAACCCCAGACTTGCAGGTACCAGTACGCAGCGTTGGCTGGCTTAACACAACAGACTGCTGGACTGGCGGAAGTGGCGCCAACGCCTGCAGCCGGAGTGGCGAAAGGCGAAAGTGGGCGTGGGAGTGTTTGACTATGTGCTCTTTGTTTTGCATGCAGCACGGCACATCGTCCCCATAGTGGTTCACGGGGCCGCACCCTAACTTGGTTACACAGTGGATCAACCACCTTTCAGTTCGTACATTGCCTTTGCAGCCCTCGTTTGCAAACTCACAAGTAGCTCCATTCTCAATCCAGCTCGAAAAGTTCCCCTACTCTCACAAAAGCTGCTCTTACGTGCAAGGCACTCCCCCAAGTAAAGACAGGCAAGTGAACAAAGTTCCTGAATACCTCGGAGGGTGGAATGCCGGCAAACAAGCGTTGCACTGAGACATCCTCTCGACAAGTCCCACACACTTGAAAGGGCCCCAAAACCTTCACTCGAAAGCCCGGCCCCAAATCAAGTCAAGACCGCATAGAGCTAAACCATAGCAGTAAGAGTCGCAATGACGAGGCAAACGCCCCCAATGGCCATCAAACGCCTAAACCTACAGGCAGTCCCTCTTGGGTGAAGCCTGGAGACTGGAACTGCAAAAGCTGCGGCGATCTGCAGTTCGCTAGGAACAGCAAGCGCGGCGCTCGGTGCAGCCGTACACAAGCTCAATGCGCCGGTGCTTGTCTGTCTGCTTGCCTGGCTGCCTGTGTCCGTGTGTATGGCACCGCCACATGACATTGAGCTTTAACCTATGCTGGCTCCTGTGATTGATGGGCCAGATGCCGGCGTTGTGGTGCCGACAAGCCCTCCGAAGCCGAGATTGCGGCCCAGGTGCCGGTCTTTGGGGGCTTAGGGATGTTGAGTAGAGATTGCCCCTAAGTAGCCCGTCCGCTTCAAGCACAAGCCGCGATTCAAGCACTCCCGGTCCAAGCACAACGCACGCGATATCATGCGATTCAAGCGCAAATTCTGAGTTCAAACACAATGCCTGATTCAAGCACTGGCGATTCAAGCACTACAAACGATGCCAGAAAAGCCGAAGTTTCCTAAAACCCCTGAACCCAAAACCCCCGGAAAGCCTCAAAGCCCTTAAGTATGACCACCCGTGCCTGAGAACCTTAACCCGTGTGCAAACCCCCTAAACTCTAAAGCCCCAACAACCTGCCAACCCTAAAAGCCGTAAATCCTATCCCCTACAAGCCAGAAACATCCATAAACACCCCGCAAAAACCCTAACCTTAAAAGTCAAGAGAGAGACCTGGGGTGGAGGTGCAGAATCGCCAGTTAGGGTTTTGGGTTTAGGGTTGAAGAGCACGAATCCCGCCGAGCCGCGTCAGTGCCCGAATCCCGTTTGCGCGAATCTGCCATCCGGTTCTCGAATCCACATGTGCGCGAATCGGTCTCAAAATCCCCACTCCCTAAAGCTCTGCCCGGAAGCGTCCCCAAACCTTGAGCGACCGTGCTCTGCACGATGCAAGCAGACTGCGCCCGATCAACAAAAACGGTCTGCCTCACATGGGCATTGTTGGACCATTGACACACACACACACACACTAAAACCATCTAAGCCAGGTTTAAGATCTCAACATATTCGGCCTTGTGGCCAAACGAGCATCGGTCAAAGGTTGCCGCGGACCTACAGGGAACCCAAAGCCCCCAAGGCCTGAAAAGCGCATAAACTTATGCAAAGCTCAGAAGCCCTCGAAAGCCGAAAAAGCAGGCTACGGCCACTGCAGCTGCAGCTACTTTGGGGCTGAGCAGCTCAGTCGCCCTTGCGCCGATTCATGGAGCACATGGAGCTTGTAGCTTGCGGGGTTTGCGTTTAGGACTTCTGCGGCATGCCATATTTGTTGTGTTTCGGGCTGAGGCTGAGCTTTAATACAAGGAATAATACATTGACAAGGATAATTTCTGATCCACTTTTTGAACTGCTTGTGTGGCAGGGCCTACAGATGCGACCTGGCGACTGGATTTGTACAGCTTGCGGTGATCACGTCTTCGCCAAGAACACCTCCTGCCGGAAGTGTGGTCAAGCCTGGCACGATTGCAGGGGATGTGAAGTGGGGCCCATTTCTGATATTTTCGTCGTGCTTGCAGTTCCTTGAAAGTGCTGCCAATTATACTGAAAAAATCTGCTGGAACCCCTCCTGCCAGGCTATCTGCTAGTGTTGGCGACGAGCATATCTGTTGTAGCTGCTGCCTGAACAGTTGTGACTGCCAGTTTGGCCAGGAACACCACGTCCCAACGGCGTCGTGTACTTCCGACATGTCTTACACCCGTACCACTCACGGATCCAAAACTGTCAGCTCCAATCCGCCCCGCAGTAAAAGGATGTATCTTCCAGGACGGCCCTGGCTGGTGCCGCTGGTGCCGCTGGTCGCACGTCATCCGCCTCACCCTAAGGCCCTCAGATCTTCGACAATGGAGCCCGGAAAGCAAGATAAGAATGCTGGACTCCGGGCTCAAGCCTTCCTTGCAGAATTCATGTCTCACAATATTTGTGACATTTGTGCAACCCGAAACCTTTCCTGTCGTGACCCTCGACCCCCGTGAACTGTGGCACATATTGGCCTAGGCTGCGCGTGATGGAGACTGGAATTGCAAGATGTGTCGCTCGACTGCATCTGGTTGCGAGTACAGGAAAAACTTCGCTTCCGTCGCACACCGCGAAGCCAGATGATGAGTATAGGAATAGACAGTATGGGCTCCATGCATGTAGTGCCTCTAAGTCCGTGTGGAAATTGTGTCCTAGTGGTTGATAATGGTTTTTGTATCCGCTAAGAGGCCTCAGAATATGAAATACTGCATTTGTCTAGCCTACTGGCTCTTATTCTTAGGAAGTTAACAGGGCTTATTTGGGCTTCTTTGGAAGCCTGGGTACGATTGTAATTACAAAGCTCACGAACCACCCATGAACCACTTTCCCTTGGTCCTTTGGTGAATTAGTATTTAAGTTTCATTCATCCGTTCGCTTCCTAATATAATGGGGGAGTGAGCGAACAGCCGATAGAATAATTTCGCGATTGCGAGGGGGGGGAGCCGGACTTGCCTCCATGTTTGATCATGTTTGGGGGTCGGTCAAACCTTGCTAGAGAACACCGATTTGCAGCCGCAACTTGGGTAGGGCTTCAAAAAGCCCATTGAGCGACTTGCCAGTCGGAAGTTGCGGCTCCAACAGCCTCTGGTGTGTAGGGGAAGAAAACAGATGGGCCTTTTCGTAACTGCAGGAAGCTCCATAAATGTGGACCTTGTCTGCCATCCGCAGCCAGCCGTGTTTTTAAGTTTCCTCATCCCCCCCATGTTCAGCCCAAGGCTGGTTACATCATACGACGATGTCATAGGACATACGATGCTACTTCAGCACAATTGGGGGGGGTTACAGCATCCATTCCACCCTGCCTCCCCCTGCTTTAACGGCTAAACTCGAAGGGTGTGCTCAAGGGTGGGTGTGTTCCTGCATGCGCGTCACCAGTTCAGTACTTGTACCCATGCCGCTGCCCCAAGATGGTCCCAAACTGCCGGCTAAATTGATGGTAGCAGCGAGAAATTGGAGCGTGAGGAAGCCCACACCGCAAGCACACCAGTGGATTGAACGACAGCCGGCAAAAGTGGGCAGTCGGTACTACCACGGTCAAATGCGGCAAACGCAGTATCTGGCTCAATGCTGTCGGCGCGCTGCGGAGGAAGTACTTGCAGAAAAATTGGCACGAAGAAGGGGCGAAGAAACCGAGATCGATGCGAGGGCGGACGAGAAATAGGATGGGCACATTGAGTCACACCTAACCACGAATAATAGCAGGTGGTAATTTCATCCGCTCTCGCGAGGTCCAGGTGCAAGGTGAGGACACAACCCCAACACCCCCAGGCCTACATAGAACTAAGATCCCAGGTGGATGGGGTTTTGGGGGATTTTGGGGGCCGCGGGCCAAGCAACGGCTTGGTTTAGGGCGGCCGGTGTGGAGACACCGCCCCATCGGCCTTGCAGAAACTTGTCTGACTACTTTGTTCCCCAGCCTTCAATCCTGACCCCCGAAGGTGGAGATCTTCAGTTTGCACGCAATGCCACCTGCAGGCAGATTGCTGAGAATAAGGAGGGTTGCGGTTTAGACTGTATTGACTCATCTAGACTCCAGACCCTGTTTGAGGCTGGAAAGTTTGTAGGGACTTCGGACTTTGGGCCTCAGAGGTTTTCCTGTTGAGGCGTTTAGGAATTTACTTTCTCTCCGCAGAGTGGGTTATAGCTTTGTTTGCATCCTTTGGCTTGGTACCAGTAGGATTCACTAGGACTCAGTAGGAGGAGTGGAGGAGGAGCTGCGACGCTGAAGTGCGGTTGAAGGTGACTGGGACCGCCGCCGGTCCTTAATCCCAAAGCTTCAAACCCAATAAACGGCCCTAAGCCCATAGAAGCCCAAAATCATCCCAAGCCCCAACCTAAAAAACCCTGAACCCTAAAGTCCTACAGCCTTCAACACCTCAAAAAAGGGTAGAGTCTGGTGCAGGCGGTGCGGCACGGAGAAGCCTGCCGACGCGGGTCTAACACCGGCCGTGGCGCCCTCGGCCACCTTCATAATCATTCATAATTCATATTTCATACGAATTAGGTGTTAGGATGCTTCAGGTCTTCAAGGTTGGGGGGCTTTGAGGGTTTAGGAGTTGGAGCCCACGGGCGAGGGGTATCTAGATAGAATTCTCTAGAAGCTTGATGCTTGTGATGTTCTAGCGTTCGGGTTGTGACATGCAAGGCCTTGGGTGTAGGACTTTGAGGTTGGTTTAGGTTGAGATGTCGTAGTTTGCGCGCTGGGGGGGGGGGGGGGCTGGGGATTCCTTTCCCAGACCCGGGGTTTAGGCCGTTCCTAAGCCCTTAGCCTGCGTCTCAGGTAGCGACAGCACCTGCATCACCCTACGCCGCCAGGGGCAAAGACATTCCGGCGGGCTGTAGGAATGTTTGGAAAAGAAGGTTAGAGCCAGGGCATGGAGTTTAGGGTTTTGGGTTCACTAAGGTTTCCAGTCAAGGAACGTGTCAACTACCCGAAAGTGGTACAAAGAAGGACGGCATGAGGCTCCTTGACAAGGGGGCCACAGTCCGATCAATCCCAAGCAGCAGCAAGAAACCTCCATGGCACAGGGCAAGTCCACACAGAACCTTCTCCCTAAGCCACCCGAACCAACAAGACTTGCTTTTTCGATCGGTTGTTTGGATGCATTTTATAAACCATCGGTAAGTCCTCAACCAACAAGATCTGTTTTTGCCAACTCTGACAACGGCTGTTACAGAGGGGCTGGTTCTGTGAAGATCGGCGTTTCGCTGAGGCACGGGTGCCCGGGGGCGATCTGCGCCCTGGAGATTGGATGTGCCCTCGATGTGGAGCTGCAGCCCTACGGTGGCCTTATTGCGACAATGTGACAATGTGGCATCCTGCACTTCCCGCTGAGGACCATGTCTTCGCCAGAAACGAGCACTGCAGGCCGGTCAGTTTGGTGGTGGTCAGGTCAGATGCATTTGTGGCTGCCTTTAAACTATCTTTTGTGCCTCATCTTTGGAGATGTTTAGAGACTCGTGAATTGGAGCTTTCGCTGGGTTTGTACTATGTACGGAGCTGGTAGTGTGCGTAAAGTGTTATCATAATCTTTGTTATGTGTGATTGTATTCCTAATTCGAGAAATGACGACAAGGGCCTCCATTTGTCCAATTGCTGACAAGCAGTTGCGCTTCTACACTCGTTGCTGGCAATCAGGAGGTGCGGACAAACTCGCCCTACTGGCCACGACATGGCAGCTATGGCGGCAGCCGGCACACTGCCTCCCACAGTGGCTGCAGCAAAGGACTCAGGTGAGTTTTCATTGAGACTTCGCTGCCTGCGTAGTTGCTACAACGATAACGATGTGAGAAGCAGCTGTTCGTTTTGAAAGGCTGAGAAATCGAGGGAGGGGCCTTAAGTCTCGTTGCAACCCATCCCTCCGTCCACCCCGGATATCCGCGGTTGGGCGGGCAGCTTTGAAGCACAAACCAGCCCGAGTTGGCACGGCACCTTTCTGGCCCAACACTGTCCCAAAGCATGATTCTCACAGGGATGGCTCTGGCCTGCGTGTTCCTGTGGATTCATGTCGGGGCTGACAATGAGAGAGTGAGAATGAGCGAATGGAGTGAGTGAGTCACAGGCTCAGTGGGTGATCGAGTGCATGCTTGAGCAAGTGCCTGCAAGGTGCGCAAGCGGTTGCACGCAAAAAACCCTAAACCCAGCTCTTCGAGCGCACCCCCGACCTCGTCCCCGCGTGGTGACAAAAGAAGCCGCCGCCTCTTATGTATGAAAAGGGTATCGATAGGGACTGCGCAGGGACCCCCGCTAAAACTTGTTCATGGGTCATGTCGTGGTGTGGCGTTCTGATTGGTGGGCCCCCCTCGATCCTCATGCCAGGCTGGATTTCCCACTTTTTTTCACTGAGGATCTTGCTCTACACCTTTCGAACCCTAAACTTTAAACACAGTTAGGAGTCCAATTTGGTTTAATTCAGGGATCAGAATATCTTCAAAAGTTTTCGTCAGAACGAAGCAAAGGATGCCACTACAATGCGACTTAACATGCTAAAACATCTAAGCTAGTTGGGCCTGATTGCCCTCATTCGTTCTTTCTTGTACCAAATTTGCAGACGGCTGAGTCCCGGATGATTCTGTACCTCCGAAGTTCGAGAGCCTCGGATGTTGCCAACGCACAAGTTTGCAGCAAAAACAAGCACCTCTAAACCCTCAACCATAAAACCCTAAACCCTAAACCCGGAAACCCTCAGGGCCGGCCAGACATGAAGCCGGGAGACTGGCAGTGCCCAAAGTGCCACGACCTGGTCTTCGCCAGGAATTCCTCGCACTGCCCTCAACCTTGGGGTTTAGGGTTTAGGGTTTCGGGTTTAGGGTTTAGGGTTCAGGCTGGTTCCAGATGGTTCAAGGTTCATGGAGGAGCAAAAGCATTGCCAGAGTAGGACTTCCGAGCACGTTGCAGACATACCTAGAAGGGAGTTGAAGGTCACAAGGGCAGAAGGCCTGGTCCTGTGTTTTTATGCCTCTGTATCAGGTAGGGGCGAGGGATCGAGGCATGCACTCAGGGTTCGGATGTTCCAAAGGGCTTTAGGGTGATGGCCTGGGGCCTTCGTCGAGTCCTCGGCAGGATTAGAGGTTTTGCATGAAGTTGTCGAATGCTGCTGCACTTGCTGCTGCACTTCAAAGTCGAGTTTGCCCCCGCGGCTTCAGGACCAGGTGCATGAATGTGTTCGAAGGCAGAACCCCCAAAAACGCAGCCAAGTGACGGTTTTTGGGCAGTATTGTGGCTAGGGCATAGACGTTGTTTCGGATTCTGAGCTTCTGCCTTTTCCAGAAACCCTTCAAAGCGAACACTGAGCCGACGCTTTGTGGGATGCATATAATATGCCTTTTGCGAGAGAGAGAGAGAGAGAGTGAACAAAAAAATGACCTAACCACTTCCTCTCTTTCCGGCGTGAACTTGATGAGCTCGGCAGGGGAGGGCGGAGGGGAGGGGCGAGTGCAGCACATCAATTGGGGGAAGGGGCGTTTCGACATCAACCCCCCGTGATCTCAAGTATGGCATCCGAGGTGCCGTCGATGTGGAACTGCCAAGCCCGAGCAGGATCGGGATCGCTCGCCCGGGCTTTAGCTTCAGCTCCAAATGGGGTCAAGGGTTTACTGCAGTGCAGCCGCAACGGCACTGGGATTACAAATTCTGACACCAAGCCGAACGCGCAAAGTCTTTGCAAAACATTTCCTTGCGGAATATTCGCGGAAGATGTATTTCGGGACATCTTTGTGTGGCTAACAAAGATTCTTATAACTTGTAACTGTAACCGGCTTCTTGGTGACCGACCCAGGCTCCCCTAAAGCCCACTGCATCTGAGGCGAAGCCCGGTGCGATAAGAGGCCTCCACTGGCCGGCGTCCGTGCTGGCCTTGGGAAACTCTTGTGATAGCTACTTCGTTCCCGCGCATTGAAGAAAAACCATGCCTCCAATGCCTAAGTCGTGCGCATTTTGATGTGCGCACGAGGTAGCGGCACCTGGAATGAGAGGGTACCGAAAGGGCGACGACATGCGACGACTTGTCGTAAGCTTCATTCATACTAGCGGCCATGGAAACGTGGCACAAGCTTGGGTTTGTTCTCATGCGGGGGTTTCAAGTTGCAATGGCGAAGTTCTGGTGGAGGGCGCGAAGTCCTGCAAAATATGGAGTTGAGACGGGAGATGAGAATGCGTGCCGGTAAAAGTCCGCACTTGCACACTGCATGCCCTGTGACTTCTAAGTATTTCGCACTCAGAAAGATGGCCCACGTTTCCAAAAAAAGGCAAGAAGTTGTGGAGGGCCCGGAGCTCCAACGATGGCATTGTTCTTTCGCACAGAGCAGAACCCTGCAGAAGACAAGTCCAAGAAAGTCTCATGAAGCAAAGAAGTCTCAAGAAAGACTAAGGACGTTCCTGTGAGGGTTGATTGCAGAGCTCGGGATTTCAGTCGTTTAGGTCTCGGGCTGCAGTTGACATGGCCTCGTTTGCCGGCTCATGGCGAAACGCTGTCCGAAGCCTTTCTGTGGTTCCTGCAGTCGCAGCAGCTGCCAATGTCACGAAGGATGTGAAAGCAGTGCCTTCACAGATATCTTGCAGCTCAAAGCCAGCACTAGTGCGAGACATCCCTAAGTTTGGGAACAGTGCGCTCCCACCTCTCCCACCTGCAACGCTTGCACCTGTCCTTCTGGAAACTCTTGAGAGGGTACTGACAGCGACCGGCTCTTTTTTTGACTTAGACTGCTACGGGTCCAAGTCGGAGTTTGAGGATGCCTTATGGTGGTCCTGGGCGAAGCTGGGCTCTGCGTGCGATCGTACTTCGCCAGCTTACAAGCAGAGGGCTGCTTCCACAGCAGATTCTGCCAACCGTGTGCGGGACAAGCAGCGTGTGGAATCGAAATGGGGGTTGGGTGAGTCAGGGGACGCTTCGCTGGAGTTCTACGACCCTGCGGGCGAGCTAGTGGCACGTGGTTATGAAGCAGTTGTCTATGGGGATCACGGGCCATACATAGAGTTCAAGGAAGAGCAAATATATTGGCCAACCTTCTGCAGGCATAGACTGAAGGGACCAGGTAGAACGCACTTCGAGCACTACAACCGAGACGTGTCCATCAAGTTGTATGACCAATTCAAGACGGTGGCCGATCAGCCCGACCCGCCGGCAGCATTTCCGAACGCCTTCTCCTGCTCTAACAATCGGAGCGAGGGCTATGCAGACTACCGGGCGGGTCGCTTATACACATCCGTCGACAGTTTCTTCGAGGCGGGCGGTCGTTGCGCATAGGGAAAACAATCCATGAAAAGGTGAAAAGAAGTGCAATCCACAGCAGATGCGTGGGGCGGTGCTGGCCAGACAGCCCGACAGTGGAGAGAATGTCCCGCCAAGCCAGGGCGCTCCTCCAGGTCTCCGCTTCGGGGGGTTTAGGGTGTTTCTTTGGAGGTTAGTTGTGCGTTGCGTCCTTGGAGTCTTTGATTGCCTTTACCTTTACTTTGCTTCGTGGCCTAGAGTCCGGAGCTGGAGTCTGCGTGCTTTCGCGGCACGCTTTTTCAGCCTGGCAGCCAGGCTGTCGCCGCGGTTGCAGAGTTTTCTCCCACACGTGGGGGGGGTGGGGGGTTTTCCCTGCAACATAATATGCCGACTGTAAATTATAGCCGCCTCCTCAAATGCGCAAGGAGGCTGACTGGGTGATGCGGCAAGGCAAAACAAATCATCATGCTGCTGCAGCGGCCGGCAACGGAACATTCCTTTTTTGCCTCTTGATAGCTATCAACAGGTCAGCCGACTCAACTGAGCGGTCTTAGAGTCCCGAGTGTGACCCTGACAAATAGTTTTCCAATCCTCTGCACCAAAGCTTCTAAAGGTGGGGAGCGGATTAAACCATCAAAGCTTGGGGAAGGTCAGGATGGCATAGGCCTGTGGAATCGGGCATTCTCGGGCGCAGGAGGGCGAAGGTTTGAGTGGGATCGTGACGGGAGGAGTCAGCGTTGGCTTCGACAATCCGCGTGCCAAAACTGACCTTGTCCAACGAACTCCAGCACAGACATGTGTAAGCTTCGTCGCTGTGTAACCCTTACGTGTGTGTGTGTGTGTGTGTGTGTGTGTGTGTGTGTGTGTGTGTGTGTGTGTGTGTGTGTGTGTGTGTGTGTGTGTGTGTGTGTGTGTGTGTGTGTGGGGGTGTGTGTGTGTGTGTGTGTGTGTGTGTGTGTGTGTGTGTGTGTGTGTGTGTGTGGTGGTGTGTGTGTGTGTGTGTGTGTGTGTGTGTGTGGTGTGTGTGTGTGTGTGTGTGTGGGTGTGTGTGTGTGTGTGTGTGTGGTGGTGTGGTGTGTGTGTGTGTGTGTGTGTGTGTGTGTGTGTGTGTGTGTGTGTGTGTGTGTGTGTGTGTGTTTGGGTGTGTGGTGTGTGTGTGTGTGTGTGGTGTGTGTGTGTGTGTGTGTGTGTGTGTGTGTGTGTGTGTGTGTGTGTGTGTGTGTGGGTGTGTGTGTGTGTGTGTGTGTGTGTGTGTGTGTGTGTGTGTGTGTGTGTGTGTGTGTGTGTGTGTGTGTGTGTGTGTCGTGGCTGTCATGGAGGGGGTGGGTCAATAGTCGAAGAGCCCAAAGTTTAAGGTCTGAAAGTCCGAAAGTCCAAGGTTCTGAGACGTATCATTCCAAAAGTCCAACAGTCCAACGGTCCAAGGTTCTCAGGCCCATATGTCAATCCAAACTGTCAAACAACATGCCTGTTGGACTTCTTTGGACTTGTAGGCCTGTCATGGCGGGGGTGGCTGACCATACCCTCCCGGTCGACTATCTCTAGGGTAGTTACATGGTCCCTTAGCATGGGCCCTTAGAAGGGTACCCATTATGTACCCATTATACACGCTGTAATGATGAAGGGCCCATACATCAGAACCCTTTAGAGGAGGACCATACTAAGGGCCCACGAACCTACCCTCAGACCATCGGGAAAAGTCGATTTTAGCCGGCCTGCCGAGGTTTAAGGACAGGTGCTTGTCATGGTGTTCTACCAATCTTGGGAGGGGCGGAGGGGGGAGGGGGGTAGGGCATTGGCATATCCCGTGCTCATGCTGGTCTTTCTACAGCCGCAGGCGTGGCTGTACCTGAGACCCTGTATCGGCCCTAAATCATGAAACCTAACGGCTCTGAACCACTTTTCCCCAAACATGCCTCCGCCTTTTGCTGGTTTCAGCTAGCATTGCAGACTTGGTTCGGTCAGGCGTATGTACGGTATCCTCATTGCCTCAATGCACCCTAGCGTACCAAATCCGAAGCATCCATCAAGCCTAAACGCGTGCATCGTAAGATGGAATCCTGAAGCTAGCGCAATGAAGCGGCGCTTCGGAAGATGCCCAAGGAGACCCTGAGGTGAGAAGACATCTTTTCAAAGGTAGGTGTTACGACTTTACATCTCAGGATTAGCTTTTGAGGGTTTCTAGGTTTGCGGTTTCTAGGTGGGACCTTTCCCAAGCAATTGTACAAACAATGGCTTATGTAGCTGTCAGGTCAGCAGATGTTCTCTTATCGCAACCTTAGAGTTGGGCCTGATGGCCCCAAAGTTTCGCAATGGGCAATGTGTGACGGGAGCTGCAGTTGCAGACGTGAAGGGTTTAACGCCCACATGCTTATGTCCAGGTAGCGCGAGCAGGAGGCAGCAAAGCTATGCCGCGCGCTCAGGCCTGAGCTTGTATTATCTGTATTCCTGAAAGCCGTTGGAGCCCGGCACACTTTCCAAGATGCTACAGCTGTCGTTTTTGCAGCTGTTCAACTCAAAATCCTTTCCACCATTGAGCCATGGAGAGCTAACCAGAGATCACCGCTTGGAACATGACGTTTAACTATGATGCCGGCTACGGCGAGAAGGATGTCCTTTCTTTGCCCGAGCCTCACTTGCCAACGCACTGCTCTGGCAGGCCAGACAAGCACCTGCACATTGGACTACAGAAGATGACTAGTCCATGTTCGCATGTTGCTCGAAACCTCTCGAAGAGGTGGATCAGGGCTGCGGGCAGCTCAGGTTTGATGCCATCGCTCCAAATTTGCGGAAGTCAGCAGGTGATGTGGCGGGGCTCGAAGCGAGCCGACTTTACGAGACGCTGAAGCGTGTGTATGAGGACTGCAAGTTGGATGAGGGTGATGTGTGGGATTGGAAGTCAAAGCTGTAAGTAGGATGCCCAGCTTGCGTGCTGCATCGCTGTCACGGGCTGGGACGCAGCTGTTGGCACTGGGCCCATCATTCCCATAATGTAAGTGGCAACGTTCATGTTGCGGGGTCGGCGTCGGTGTTGGCAGATGTTGGCGTTGTTGTGGAATTGGTTGTGGTGGCGAGTGTTGCTGTTCTTGATGTTGCCGGGGTTATGAATACTGTCGTTGTTCTTGTTGGCTCCGCGCCGGCGCATGCAAATTGCCTCATATCGCCTCGGTGTGTAGGGTTTTTCGTGTGGGTCAGGTGCCGAAGCGTGTTGCCAGTCTGTTAGACACGTGCAGGCTTTTCCCTGGGAATCATCGGTATTGACTGCTGTGTTTTCGGCGTACTCAATATGTGCTCAAGGCCTCGGTCTTGTTCCTTGTCATGGAATTTTGGTGCAGACTGCAGATTCTCTTTTTTGCTGTTTGTTTTTGGGTCCCGGTGCAGGCTTCAAACCCCAAAATTATGAAATCCAGAGGCCGCTGAAACCTTCAGCCCGAGCCGATCCCCCTCAGGAGTGGAAAGCTTTGGAAGATTTCGAGGTCCTGGACCGAAATTTTCAAGCGTCCCGGAAGCCGTTGTCAGAGTGCAGGGCTCGAGGTTCGAAGCAGATGTTGGACATTTGTCCAGACGCCCCCCAGTGAAGCGGCACACGTTTCTGATCCCCGAAAAGGGCAAAGAGGTTTACTGTAAGTTAATGCAGCCTCTTGATTTGAGGAGTAATGGGGTCCACGCTAGGATTCCACTGTGTTTGTTTCTCCGTGTGCCGTTGGCCCTTACACACAAAGTTCAAAGTTTTAAGTTTAGGCATCATCTACTTGAATCTACTTACATCTGCTTGCAGTATGGTTCCTACAAGTTGGACAGCGGCCGCTTTCAGTTGAGCATTTGTACGCAGTCGACCCAGCTCCTTACCAACAACTCCCGTGTCGACTTCTTCCATCCCCGTATGCATCGCTGCTGCTATGTCCTTCCGTTTTCCAACACAGGTCAGCCTTTCGGAGGTTTAGTTTGCTTACTTTTTTTGCCGAATCTCCTTCACTGGGTATGCATGTGCAATTTGTGCATTCAGGGTTCGAGATGTGTTGCAGGCACGACTGCGAGCGGGTAAGTGCATTTGACACGCACATGCGTTGTTCACCGAGGCACTGCTGGCTACTGCAGCAGCAACATCATGGTTCACAAAGGAACAACTTGATGACATCGACACGTGGCTGCCTGTCTGCGATTGCCAGGTAACCAGATGGCTAGACTACGGCACATTCCCGCCTGTACACTTTCGTGCACTTTTTCTGATTGTCAGGGTTTTGGAGAGGCACGGGTGGTTAGCGCGAAGCATCTGTGTACAGAGCATCCACGCTGTATTCACGTTCGTTCCTAGAGCTTTCATTTACTTCAAACATGATAGAACATCCATGCCCGCACGGTGACAACGACCATGCTATTCCAGGTACCGATGCATACACGATGATATCGCCCATGGTACCAGAACACTCTCCAGACATGACAGTAACCCTGATGCCTCTACTCCCTGCTTCCCTTTGTTTGTACACTGCGGTTCAATGCGGACACGACTGCCAAGCGCAGTGTTAAGCCAGTAACGCTGGAACCGCCGACTCGGGGACACGTGCGCTGAGAAGCCGACAGAGCTCGAATCACGCGTAAAGCGGGCCGCCAAGGCTCCGTTTAATGCTTTGCACATGTAAGCAGAAGCGGCGCGCGCCCTGAAATACCGCCTACGCCGCAAATTCAAGGTGCAAATATGCTCAAACCCGAAACCCTGAACCCCCTAAACTACGCTCTCTGGCTCACCCCAAGCCCAACTAGGTCACACGCGCACGAGGCTCCGCATTATTCTTGAGGGCGTGAATGAGCTCATTTCTCGAGTTTTAGCACGGTGTCCATGACAAAGTTTGTTTTTTCGGAACTGAAACTATTCACTTGCATTGATGTCTTTGCCGGTTGAACGGGTTTCTGCGTGGAAGCTTGTGACGTCATGTCTTGTTCCAGAAACCTCAAACATCCTTGTGCAATGTGTGGTCACGCGAAGCAAGAGACGGTGCACATAGCAGTGTTTTGGGCATGTTTGCCAAAGGTGTGAACGCTCGTGACCGTGCGTTCTGTTCCAGAAACGTCTGTGTTGCTCAACATTTTCGAGGCTGGGAGAAGTGGCCGACTGCGGCGAATCAGAGGATTGGATGCAGCACTTCCCGGAGGACGCGGCAGGCTGTAAAAGGCTGTGAGATGTAAGGATTCCTGTAAGATCCGAGATTGTCTGAAGTTTTGGCTTGACATGCATGGATGGGGGTTCTTGAAGATTTGAACAGATGAGGTTGACCTGTTGAATTGAAAGTCATAGGCGATCTGTAGGGGGTGGTTGAAGCGCCTTTAGCCTTAGTGACTGCCTGACTGCATATCAAAATGAAGGAAGAGTTGCGGGAGGTGGTCCTCGAGAAGCTTAGGCCCGGGCCGAGTCAGAGCTGTCCGTTTTTGTTCACGCCTGGCTCCGGACGCAAAGTAGGTGAAGCTCTCATGCTCCGAAATGCTCCGAATGCTCCCCCCCTAAGCCTCGGAACCCTTCTAGGCCCAGGCGGGGACTAGTACCCTCCAGATGTGGCCCTGCGCGCGAAGGGCCAGAGAAGCCCAGGTGGTCTTTGACACCGCAGCTTGCATGCAGATAGGAGCCGCGACTTGCCCCCTGCGAAATAGCTTAAATGGCTGCTAAAACACTCTTCATACAGTAGGGTTCTTAGGGTTCAGGGTTTTCAGGGAGTTTAGGGTTCTTGTCGCCGAGGTTGCGAAAGCGATCTCTGTGGAGTACGAGGGTGGCAACTTCGGCACGGGCCGCTCCGAGCTTGGACAGTGTGGACATCCACCACGTGCTGCTTACCATCGTAGGTTTGTTTGCGTGTGGTTTCTGCTGTCAGCCTTAACCTGAAAGCATCAATGCACTACGAATCCATAACCAAATCATGCTGGAAACATGACTTCCGCTGCGGCATCTTCTCCCAGGTCATGACGGCTCGATCCAGCTAAACGACGAAGGCCTGTCGAGCCCCAGCTATTTGAAAGAAGTTTCACTTTCAAATCTCCACGCGCCAGAAAGCCACTCATTTTTCGATTCAATGGGTTCGCTTGCTAGGAACGAAGCTGCCACTTGCAATTGTGTGTTCCGGAAGGCAAGGTCAAGCCAGGAACCAAAAAGCGGACCGAATGAACAATAAAGGTGCATGCTACCCGAATCGGCCCTGCCCGCTAGATGCCCGTATGCCATCACGCGCCGTCGCTCCCATCACGCCCCTATCATGCCCCTGTCACAGCCGCCCGCCCCGTCACGGCCCCTGTACCCCGTCACATCCCTTCGGAGACTGCATGTCCCTTTCAACGCCTATCTCTCGTGGAGTTTAGGGTGTCCGCTTTCACTTGTGTCACTGGGGGGGTCGGGAATTATGAGACCGTGCTGCCATCCTTTGAGGTACAACGCCTCCCTGTGAACGGTATCGCGCTCCCCCCTTGTCCACACCTGCCCAGCGTGTATATATGTGTATGTATGCATGTATGCATGTATGCATGTATATATATATATATGTACATATATATATATATATATGTATATAATATAGCGCTCCCCCATCTCCATGTCACGTTCCCCCGCCCTCCATGTCACGTTCCCCCCCCTCTTGTGTACGGCACCCCTGCACTCCCGTCAACCGAAAAGTGACCCCCCCCCTTCCTTGTCTGTATGGCTGCCGTCAGCGTGACGGGCAGGTTTGATGGAGTGTAAAAGCGCGAAATCATGCCGCCTTCCGGCACGCCCGAGAAAATCTTGTCAGAACTCAATGCAACACACCTGGGTCCCCTACCATCTCAACCCCTTGTGGTATTGGGGAGGATACAAGGAGGTCTCCCGAGAAATAAGCGAGCAACATATGGACAGAAGAGGCTTTTTGCCTGTAACAAGTGCAGAAGCCCCGTTCTACACATAACGACTGAGAGCAGGAAAACGTTTATAAATAACCAAGGCCCATTAATATAATCCTTAGACTACCCCATATTTTCAACCAAAGCCCTCACCCCCCCCCCCTCCCCCAAGGATCCGAGACTCGCGGGAGCCCGGCAAGTCCATGGTCTTCCTGGGCGACCTTCCGGAGGCAACTATTTTGATACGCTTTTGAACGGTGGGACTTTGGGGGGATGTTGAAGGGCTTGAGTTCTGAGTTCCCCCTTATGGTAACAGTCCTTGGTGGGGATTCTATGGTACCCCCTAGCATGGACTGTTAGAAAAAGAGGGAACACCCCAAGGTTTGAGCAACATTGCCGGCTCTGAGGTTTCAGGTTCCTGGCTCTTGGGAGGGGGAGGAGCGTCTGCAACACTCCACATAAAGTTCTGCTAGTACATGAGCTTAAACCGATTTACTTTAAAATGATTTCGATCCTTGGCGAATGTGTGTTCTCCTCTATGATCACCCTTGACGACCCCCTCTCTCCCCCATCACAACCTGCCCGCCCCGCCACTCTTTCTGAAGGCAATGATTAACTTTAATGGGGATCTGAGTCTGAAAATATTGTAAGTTCAAAGGAGGCCAACGTTCGCAGGGCAGTTTAAAGAAGAAGTTTTTGATTAGAAAATGATTCTTTTGACATAGGATAATGCATAGACTTGTTGCGATCAGAACTTTAAAATGTGTGTAGGGCAGCCAGCTTGGATGACTGGGCTCAAAAACTGGGGGCCACACAAGAAAGGAGGGCTGATGAGGGCACGGGCTCCAACTCAAAAAGCTCGAGGGCTGGAGGCTTCGAAGGGCCTCTCGAGGGTTCATTCAGCAAGGAGCGGCAGCTCTTTGTCGGCAGTTGCGGGGGTACTTTGAAGCTTTTGTTTTACGCGCATGGTGAAAGGCAAAAGCGGCCCTAAACCCTAAACGCAAAGATTTTCCCCCAGGATCCTGCGCAGCTGGGCAAAGCCTTGGGCAGCAGGAACTGGGACGAGCACTGGGACGAGGACCTGGCAAAGGGGGTGCCGACTTCCAATCTGAACCCCCAGGACACTGCGGTGATTTATATGAAGCCCTGAAACAGAAACCTGGTATCCTAGATCGAGCCACATCGCCTGCAGCCCAAGCTCCGAACTGCACCCTCATCCGTACTGCAGACAACCACCCGAGTCAAGACCCCTGAGTTTTCTGAGGAGCCCCTTAGCTTGGCACCCCCCAAGCCTGAAGCATCCCGAAGATCACAGTAAACGAACAGAACCTCCCATCCTCTCAGCCCCAAGAGGACACTTCTACGCAGCTCTGGGAGAATGCCTGAACGAGAGTACAATACTTCAAGACTTGTTGGGGCAATGCTTCGGAAATTTACTCTTCAAAAACACGGACTGACTTTGCCAGCACGTGCTTACTATCATGGCGCACTCTTCCCAATTCACCAATAAGAGGGAGAGAGAGAGAGCACACCGTCACTTCCACACGACTCGCCCTTCTTGCTCCCCGAGGACTACTGAGTTGCTCCTTTGACAGCCACTTGGGTGCGGGGGGGCGCTGACGGCGTGCCACCCCATATGTTTCATGTCATTTCAAGTAGTAAAGGAGAAGGAGCACATAAGGAACCCGAATATGTAGGGAAAGAAAGAGAAGAACCCAGATTCCCCTCCCGCCTTCACTGTCACAGCTTCTTGGGGCGGAGGAGAGAGTTTGTCCAGCGGTTCTGTCCAGACATGCTTGTTGTCGTTTCTTTACGACCAACGATGTGAAGTTCAGAAAGTTTCTGGGCAATGACCCAACACCGCTGCTGAACGAAACAGCGCTGCACGTGCCCAGCAGTTGCCTAGCGGAATTGGTGTCCTAGACTTCTGCCAGACCGAGCCACACATCAGAAGTCATGGTTCTTATGCAAGATTGCAAGATGCCCAGGGTTTCTGGAGGCGGTGTTGGAAAGTACTTGCGAGTCATGCAGTGTTCCACGTCTTGAAGCGCTTCTGTGTAGAGGCCATTGATGTCCGCGACACTGTTTCGGCATGTTTGCAAGGCAGGAGTGACATGGCGCGGCTGCAATATGGAAGCAAGCCCCACGTTTTCGTGTTTGTAGCAGGTCCCCGCGTGCGTCACCTGGGAGCGCAGGTCTGACCGCAACTACATTTTCGCATGCAGAATGCAGAGCATTCCGCAGGCATCAGCCTGGCGAATTCGTGATTACAGTCCGCTTTTACAGTCTGTCGTCAATGTCCCAGTCTTTTTTTCTGGAATTGGTCCCCTATAACCCGAACGAGTGCTGCTGAAAATAAGAGTGAACAACACGTGCTTATATAGGCCTTGCTTCATACCCGGGCCAATCCGGTGTGGGATGAGGACAACATGATCCTGTTTCGAAACCCCTAAAACCCTACTGACACTGAAAGAATGCTAGTCGGCCCCGAGCCATCCATAGCCCCATGCGGTATTTTATTTTAAAGAGCTCGCATGGCGAGGTCTTGTTCACCCGGAGCCGGAACTTATGGGTCGAAAAGTTGTCCGGCAGTTGGCAGGGTTTATGGACTTGGTCTGACTTGGTATAGGGTTCGGGAGGGCTCAGAGACGTTTAGGCTGTTTAGGGTTTGACGCGTAGGGTTTATTTAGACCTTAGGCTGTGATCTAGGGACGGCAGTGGGGGTGTCAGGTGGTAGGATCGCGGATGCCTCCAATCAGCATGTCCGCATCCAGAGATTGCGGTTCCGGCGTGTGCACTTGCGGAGATTTGCGAAGCAAGTAGTCTGCAAAGAGTGAATTGAAATTGGAGCCCAACCGGCTGTTGTTCTTTCAATCACAGAGCAATGCAGAGTCAAACAGGTCAGGTTCCCTTTTCGGTTGCCGGTCCACTAACTCGCTCGTCACGACTTTGATATCGACGGATAGTCCTCCCTGAAAATGCCTGCATATGATATCTTTTAGAGAAGGTACTTTTGACCAACACAAGGAAAGCAAGACCTCTTGCCATCTCACGCGAGCGCACGACACGTGCACAATGACGTGGGAAAAGCACTTCCATCACCAGGCACGGTGTCGCAAGGCTTTCGGAATCTTTCGGAGTTGTGCATGTTACAAAACGAAGGCTGTAAAGAGTGTCAGCTGTGGGAAGGAGATCTGGGTTATGAACACGGCTTACTGCCTCTATGCGTCGCGAACTCGGTGCTGTTCTTGGCGCCCACTTCCAATGCAACAGCAGACTGAGGTCGGATGCGCCACTCGTGAGTTTAGAGGCGTGCTGGTCAGCTTGTCTGGATCAAGCATGGAAGGCCACCCCTAGTGCTACTGGCCAGGCGACGCACTGGGGTCGTTTGGATGAGATGGCCAAGTGCTTGGCCGTAGCGCTCGCAACCCAGATGCCACTGAACAAGATGCTGCCAACTCGGGTAGTTAAGAGAATGCAGCTTCCATCAGACGTTTTGAATGCACCAATCGCTGAACCACCAGAACCGAAAACGCTCAAGATGGAGCAACAGCGCCGCAAGTCCGAAAGTTGTGAGCATCACCCCCACTGAATGCCTAAACCACGAAGTGCTCCTCCAGAAGCCAAAGCCCTCAAACCCTACACACCTGCAGTTTAGTGCTTAGGAGCATTCGGATTTGAGCGGTCCTACCGGTTTGAGGTCAGCTGACGCGGTCGTGCGCCTTTTCTGGGCCCGAAGCCCGGCGGTATGTTGAGACGGCTGAGGTATGTTGAACTTGGTGGCTTGGAGGAGTTTCTGCTGGGTACAGTCGAGTTTGTGTTTCGGGCCACATGTGGGAGCTTGGGATGAGAGCTTTTCAGACTTGTTTTGAGACTTCTTGAACTTCGCAAGCTCTGTCGCTCTGTGAGGCCGACGCGGTGATTTCAGTCGAAGGCAGATGACCGCCCGCTCTTTTAAAACATTTTGAATCGAGACTAAGTAGGGCTCGGGCATGCTCTGGGTTGCAAGCTTATGCCTGACTGTGATGCCCGCTCTATGGACTGTGACCAGCCATCTCGTCAAATCCACTTACATGTTTCATCCAATCCAAGAAAAGCAAGCAAGCGAAAACTCGGCGTTTGAGGACACTGGCTTTTTTTTTGAAAGGAGCCTCAACGACCAGCGTCTTGCTAGGTGCGATAGCAATTAGTTCTTGCACTAGGAAGCAGCCGGCGGCGTATTGTGGCATCATCTGATTGTGTCAGAAATGGGTGGCTATCTGTGGTCTTCGCCTCCTGCCGATGCAGAGCCGAGACATACTGCAGATGAAGGTAGCTCACCAACCGAGCTTCTCACTTCATTGCTGCGCATTGAGCGGCAGTGTTGCCCACCATCCTCTGCTGCCTTAGTCTCAGTTCGCGCGAAGGATCCGAACGCGGATTCCATGGATCCCAGTAGTGCCAAAGGCTCAGAGATGCCTGTTAAGGTTTTGGTCGATGAGCCGGACATGAGATTCTGCATCTGCTATGATTCTGAATCACCAGTGATAATCGCCTGCTTGTGGGCACGGCTAAAAGGTGCCACCGTTCAGGATGTGACTGCCTCTTTGTGCCATGAGAGGGCTCTGTGGGATATCGGGGAGAACACCCTGTTGCAGGACGCACGTCCGGAGGACGACATGATGGAGGAGGTTTACAAAAACATCATCGCGTGCCCTCGACCTTTCTGGGACCGCGAGGTCCTAAAGCGTCAATGGAGACTGCCCCTGGAATCGCCGCACGGGGTCGGCTGTGCACTCGTCTCCCGATCCACGGAGGATGCAACAGTTCCAAAAGATCCAGAAAAAGTTCGAGCTTTCGTGCACAAGGCTGGGGCCCTCCTGAGGCCATCAATTTTTCAGAGTGCAGAGAGTGATCTGTCGCTGCATATTGCGAACAGCCCTTCGGTTATCGGTACGGAGCTGACCAGCTGTAGTCAAATCGACATGGGTGGCCTCATTCCTTCTTGGGCCACCAGCTACTTATCCTCCACAGTGGCGGGGAAGGCCGTCCGTTGGAAGAATGACCTGCAGCGCCACTGCGATGCCCGGAATGGCCAGGACCCAGTCCCAAGCCTGGCTGAGATCTCATCTCAGCTTCTACCAGCTTGGGCGGTTACGTGGTTCAGTCAAGCAGTCTAACTTTTCAGTGCTCAACATGTGCGAGTCTGTTGCGAACCAAGCTCTACTAGCGCCCCAAAAATCCTTTAGATGGTGCCCGGGACTGCAACAGCTGTTGAAGAGACCCGGCGCCTGAAATTGAAAAGACAAGGAGAATTGGGATGAGACCGAGCGGCCACAAAGCAAGGAAGAAGTGGAGGAGGTTGGCCCTGCTGGATTTTCGGGTCACTGGTCCAGGGTTAGATGTGCATGTAGCCACCAGTTTAAGGACCCGATCGGAGGCGGAATCGCGTTACAGACAAGTTCTCGCTTACCCACCCTGGGCGTGGGGCTGTCTGAGTTTAACTTATGTAGCTGTTCTCCGCGCCCGACTCTCCTTGTGTCCCTGGAACATCCTGGAATGCTGCAACCCGAGAATCGCCGTAGTGCCCTCATGCCGGCGCGATCAAAAACTGAGCCTCCTCCCCCCCGTCGGTGCCAGCGAATTTTACAAGAGCGAAGCCACCCCGGTTACAAGGATCCCGACCACACATTTGACACGCGAATATGAGTTTAGTGTCCTTAAACGATGACAGTTACAAGGACCGTGACACCCTAAGGCCGGAGAACATCTCGAAGCTTCAACCAACACGATAGTTACTTGAATCTTGAAGCGGCGATGTGACGACGCCAGACCCTGATCAACATTGAGCTTTCCAGTTTTCCGCAGGTCCAAGAAAATACTTCAATACCAAATCCCTGAAACGCATGCTTCCACGTCTTGCTCAAGTTGGGAACTGCAGGTGGGCTCCTTCATAAGCCTGAGATCGCTACCGCTATCGTGGTCGCCTTTCTGAGCCCTGATGCTTTGGGATGTTCTTGGGGCTGGGGGTGTTTCAGGGATTTAGGATCTGGATTTGGTGAAATGGCACTTTACCGGGTGGTCGCCAATCTTGGCAGCCGTGCTGCGTGCCGCATGCATTCATCCCAAGTATAACCCCACTCATCATCGAGCTAGCATGTGCTGAATGTTTGTTGGGGTTTTGTGTTGCAAAGGATTCGAAAGGTCAGGTGGCGGTTGCACTCAGGGCGGCCAGAGCCGATGTCCTGCGTGCAGCAGACTGCCGGACAGCCGGACAAAGTTTCGTCAGTGCAATGCTGACCGAATTCGCAACCACGTCGCATGAACTACAAACTGTCAACATGCGACTCAGATCCTGAAGTTGTCCACCCCTCCGTGCTCTGCGGGCCTTGCCCTCAAATGCCGCCAATTCAGAGTAGATCGGAACGATATAGATTGAATCGTTTATAAGTTGGACAGCTCAACAGCAAGTAGATCTGCCAACCACGGTTGTTGTTTCACTATTTTGGCCTTAGCTTACAGTGTTTCAAGCGAGCGCAGAAAATGCTGTCTTGGGGCTCCATGTAGGAATCAAGATGATTCAGGAAAGACGTATGACACTGAATTGAAAATCGCATTCTGGTAACCCTAAACTCGGACCCTGGCCCTAATTCCTATTGACTCTGGTTGAGGGCTTGCGTAGGGTTGGAAGTGTGCTACGGAGCATGTGTCCCTGCTCGTTGTGTATCCAAATGCCCTGCGCATAGAACGCCCTGAGCCTATCCATGGACCCTAAACTCTAAACCATGCACATCCATGCGCAACACTGGACAGCTGTGAAGCGAAAGACGCAAGATAGCGCAAGCAATCCTTAGTGCAGACATTAGGGGAGTTGATGCCATTGCTGTTGGACATATGCAGTTCTTATGTCTCAGATCGCCCCCTTGTTTAAAATCATTTTTTCGGTCCAGGGCCTAGGGATCTCTGCATGGGGGAATGGAAACGTATCTCCAGGTCCCAAAGCTCTGACGAACCCCAGATTTCAAAACTCGAAGGCGATGATCTGTCGACTTGGATGAGGCACCTGTAGCCGATGGAGTCGGCTGAGTTGAGAGCAGCCTGGGAAATCAGAGCTGAGGAGGGTTCGGTGGGCCTGAACTTGTTTAGGGTCAGTCGAGTTACGAGTTGGGTATATTCATGGGGCCTTGCAACCTCAACCCTTCCAGAAGAACCTGGGTGAGGTTTGTCGGAAAGAGGGCGCCGACTGAGCAACAGCAGGGGGCCCTGGAAGTTGGATTTGCAAAGACAGCTTGTTTACCCACCCGACACGTGGAATTGTTGGATTCCAAGATGTAACGGCACGAATCATGCGGCACGACATGCTCTGTACAACATTCAGGATTGCGAATCAACAAAATTCACCAATGATGAAGATTCAACAATATAGTGTTCGAAATGTTGCCGCATTAAGCAGGCAAAGGAGGCTCAGGCGGGCAGCTGTGCTCTCCTGCGACGGACAATATGAAATATTGCTTACCGGTTGTCGTTTTTTTTTTAATACAACACAATTTCAAAGAATTTTGTGGCTGTACATAAAAACACACCTTCAAGAGGGAAGCCTTCTCCCGGGCTATTAGCGTTCGCAGCTTCGGTTGCGGGCTTGAGGCTGGGCTCGAGAGTCACTGAAAATGAGCTGCGATATGGATTTGGGGTTGATTATGTCTGTGATTTCTTGTGAAAAGGGCTTACCTTTTGGGATCTTACTGCTTCCCGACTGGTTCTGCATTTGGACGCTGAGGACCTGCCAGTTTCTGTGGCCAAACATAGTCGCAGCTGGCAAAGGCCCAACTGCCTCTGAATGCCACAAAGTTTTGAGTGCTGAAGCTGTTCATAACAACAGACTGTGCCTGTTACGACTCTTGCGTGAGCAGAGCAGGCATCCGCAAACTCAAGGCATCGGATCAAAGATTCAACCAACATCAAAAGCAGAGTAAATTGCGGGCATGAGCCATGTCCACATGCATCCTGTTTGCAGTAGAAGCAGCGGCGAAAGGTTTAAGGTCCAATGTTGTTCGAAGTGGCCAGGACGTCCAGCTTGCAGAACCGCGAAGGAGGCATCTGATAGTTCATCGTGTCAGCCCGCTGCAGCTGCACATTGGGGCGGGTCGAGTCGGACATGCTCCAAGCCCATCAGCACCGATCATTTACAATCTGCCAGGCCATGGAAAGTTGGACAGCCCATGGACATGATGAGGCCGAGCCGCATTGAGCGATGTTGAGCGGGAGCGTTGTGAACGGTAGGCTGTTCAAAGCAGGTGTTCATGGCACATACAGATGCCCACGGTGGCCTTGCGGTCTACGCTTCATTTGAGAGCCTAAACCCTCGTTCCTTCCTCCTTCCTTGAGAAGTGCGTTCTGATTCGATTGTCCAGCCCACGCCGGGCATCGATGTTCGGAAGCCGAAGATTTCCGAGGCAGATCGGGCATTCCTTCTGATTGGGGTTGGGAAGTGAGATGATGGGACTCTCATCAGGAAAGTACGTAGGTCTTCTCAGTTCTTGGGTTGAAGGGCTTAGCTGCAAGATACAAGCATGATCAAGGGCTTGGAGTTTGGCTGCAAGGCCTCGGTCAGGAACCTGTGTCGACTCCTGTTGGAGGCCCAGAAGTTTCTCAGCTATCACCACTGATAGTTCGCCCCTAGCAACCCTGAACTGGCCGTATGTGGCCTCAGAAAATTCGAAGTATGCCACAGAGACGCCACCAGTCCACAAGACTTTGTCAGCAATCGTGGTTGATGTGGGCAGTATATGACCGCGCGCAAGAATGCAAGCCTCTCATCCCCACAGGGGAGGCGTCGAGAACCCTCCCGAACCTATTTCCAGTGTGGCGCCCCATGGAAACAGATTGCTGATTGCTGACTTTGCAGTTCGCTCTAAGAACATTAGCTCCACATGTGCGAGGAACTGCTGAAGCAAGATCTCGAGAACTCTTGTTTCGAGTGGCCCAGGCCTCTGCGTGACGCAGCAGACTGGACACACGCACACACGCGCACTGAAGTTATATGCTCCTCGTGGCACAAGTTGTGCTGCTGCTTCGGACAGGCAGCCAACAGCAGAAAGTGGGGCACCCACATTCAGATCAAAGTTTTCAGAGTGGTCATCTGCAACAGTGCACAACGCCCTTCTCACATTCCCAGGCGCGCAGAACTTCCTGAAAAAGCACTCGGGCTGCAACAAAGGTGTTCATCATGCTGGGCTTTTGTGCTGTCAATTCACACGTGCGGCAGATGAAGGTTGCAGAAGACCTGGCGCACAGACACTGGCGGCACCAGCAGGCCAACAGCAGGGTCACCTAGGGCAGGCCCCAAAACCACCAAAACAGCTACTCAGGTGTCGAAGCCAGCCAAGTTCGTTCAAATTGCCCAATGTCCTTTGCCAAGGTTGTGGGAATGTTGCTGGACATCGACGGCGTCATGCTGAAACCCTACTGTGCACACGCCTCAATGTGATGTTGCTGCGTGGCGACATGCCAAGCTCCGTGCGCGTAAACCGCAATCCAGAAGGTATGCAGGAGTGATCACTGCCTGTAGATCATAACAAACTCCCTCCCGCCCTCAACTTCTCAACTCCCTGCAGACCCCACATCCCAAAAAAATCTGTGGATGAGGCCTCCCCGCTCTCGCGGCCAACAAGAGATGTTGGCGAACCGAAGGTTGCCTTAAGCCGATCTGGGAGATGTTCAGCAAAGGTTATGGGCTTGCGGGCCAAAATGTGGGATTTTGCGTCTTTCAGGGAAGCAAGTTCAGAGGTTACAGCCTCAGAAATCCTCATCCTAAGAAATCCTCATCTAGGCTTGTTCGTAGGTATCTTGGACAAAACTCTGCAGAAGTAGTCGTAGCAGCAGCCTAAAGCTTGATGGATCTAGGCTCATCATGTTCTATCCTCGCATTAATCATCGATGTTAATCCGTATTGTTCATTTCCCTGAGCACAAATGTTCAGAGAGTTGTTTCACGAGGAACCCCGTTTCAAACTCGCCAACACTAAACCCCCCTGCAAAGTTCATGTGCGAAAACAACCCCTGTATTCAGGACGCTTCAACATAAAGAGTACAGAAAAGTGCTCTGAACACCCTGAATGGCCAGGTCTGCGTGACGGTTCTCGGCGGGCCGAAGGGTATATCACCGAGCTTCAAGGCATCAAAGCATCAAAGCCCAAGCGACTTGAGGGTTCACAAGAAGTTCAGTTGCCTCAAGTTGCAGCAGTTTGCACTGCGCTTGTGTCTATTTACAAGACTGCAAAAGGTGCCTTAGGTATCGCTCACGTGATCGTTGGCTTGGTCTGCCCATATTCTGCAATGGTGCATGGCATGTGCTTGCAGTTGACGGTTTGACAGGCTTTGAGGCTGAGGCTGAGCGGTTACAACTTTACAACGTAAAAGACATGGTCTGTCAGGAGTGTCTGCAGGAGATATTTTGCGCGCTGGCGATCCCTCTGCTCGAGGCATTGCTTGCGAGAGACAGTAGCATGAAAATGCATGGAACTGCACCTCAGCACTTGTTCACTTATGCTGGCCGCCAAACGCTGGCATGGTGCAGGTGCGACTGGGACCCCATGAAGAGATGGCCCATGCATGCGGGTAGCTTAGAGCAGACACCGTCAAGTCACGGCATGTTAAAGCCTGCATTCTGCGGCAGATGAGCCGGCCAGGTCTGGCGCACCTCCGGCTGCAGGAGCTCCGCTTGGTGATCCATGCTGTGCGAAATGCTTTCATGCGCCACTGTCACTAAGACTTGAGAATGCGGAGTGCGAAAAGCCGGAAGCCCCGTAGGATGACGCGGGCCTGCTCAAGGCTGCCGTCACCGACTTACTCCGTCTTGGGATGCCGCCTCAGATGGAGACGACCTTGCTGCAGGTATCTGTGTTGTTTGCACGTTCGAGCGCTTGTTTGCCTGCACGTGTGCACGATTGCTTGTTTGCTTGTTTGTTTGCACGTGTGCTCGTTTGTTGTTTGGTTGGTTGGTTGCTTGTTTTTGTTCTGACTTTGTTGTTTACTTGATTAGTTGTGTGCCTGTTTGCAAGTGAATTCTATTGCGTCCGGAAGTTGTCGCTGAGCTTGTTCTTGCCCCTCCTGTTTTGGCACACCATGTCGGCGAAGTATTGCGTGATTCGGATACTGAGGCCATCAGGGTATCAATCGCTTATTGCTGCTTCCGAACGTGCACTCTGCAGCATGAGACGGAGGCTGCGAACAGAACTGCAGCGAGAGCAGCATTTCAATCCTGTGCTGTGGCTAGTTATTGGTAGGCTTTTTTGCTGAGATGCACAGTCTAAGGGAGACCCTTTACACAGTCGCTGGGGAGGCGTTTGGCTGTCGGCTGAGAGTAGTCCAGACACTGGGGTCCCACCCCCCTTGGTTACACATCGCTGGTGTGCTGTCGTAGGTGGTAAGTTCAAGATTGCTCTCCGGATCTTTCCGGACTCCTCTGGACCCTGCCCCTCAGTATACATTGGCAGATCAGTCCAGCAGGAGTTTGTGCAACCCGTGTTGCTTAATGTTATTGCATGTATTGCAATGTAACCTGAAGCAGCACACTTGAGAACGTGACATAATATGCTGTAATGCAACGTGTCTTCATGCAGAAAACTAGAAGATCATTCAGAACAAGGCGGCACACGACGGGATATCACCGTAGCAGAACATGGTTCCAAAGCATCGACGAATTATACTTCAGATGCCATGCTATGTATCCTTTGGGTAAGCGGCCCTGCCTCTAACATCTGCCTGAGCTGCCAGGATGACCCTCCGGCAGTTTCAGGGCAAGCAAGCTGTGAAGTGCCTCAAGAGGCAGAAGATGCGATGTAAACGTGGCGTAGGGCTTGATGGGCTTTGCCGTCCTCAGTCTTCAATTCGGTTATCTTCAACTCAGTTACTTTGGGTCAATCGTGTGCGGGCGGGCAAAAGACGAGGTTGGCAAGCGGCCAGCTGTGCCCTTTTAGAGCACAGGTGCGCTTGGATAACAGCTGTTGGCTTGCGATTTGTCACCTGCCAGGCGACAGCGCAGACGACCCCTGACAAGCAGAATCAGTATTGGCACGATGCAGGAGAAAGAGCACCGCGTCAAGAAAGACAACACACTTCATCGTTTTGCGGGACTGAAGTGGAGAAGTGTTGGCGCATGGCTTATTCTATTATTACCATGATATCAAATATCTGATTTATTGTTGAAATAGAGCAATGATCACTAGAATTCCTCTGCTCTACTTTAAATCTCGATTTGGACTTATGAGTCTTTTTAATTTATTATCTACAGGCCTTGTGGCACGGGCCCCTGGCCGTCTGAAAGCTGAAACTCGGGATTGGGCTAAGGGGTGTAGGGGGCGCAGGGAGTCGGGACGTAATCAAGAAGAAAGGGAAAAATGAAAAAAATAAGAAGAGAAGAAGAAGAAAAATGAGAAGAAAAAGAAGAAGAAAAGAAAGAAGAAGAAAAGAAAGAAGAAGAAACAGAAGAAGAAGAAGAAGAATAAAAGAAATAAGAAGAAGAAGAAATAGAAGAATAGTAAAAGAAAGAAGAAGAAGAAAAGAAAAGAAAGAAGAATAACAAGAAGACAGGATAAAGGAAGACAAAGAAGAAGAAGAGAAAGAAGAATAAGAAGGAAAGAAGAAGAAGAAATAGAAGAGGAATAAAATGAAGAATAAGAAAGAAAAGAAAGAAGAAAAACAATAAGAAGAAAGGCAAAAGGAAGAAAAACAAAAAGAAGAAGAAGAGAAAGGAGAAGAATAATAAGAAAAAAATGAACAGGAAACAGAAGACCAGAAAGAAGGAACCGACAACCGAAATTCCATCTATAATCTTCTACGTGCGCAATA